CATACAGGTAAGTCGCGCGGGTGCAGCAACGCAGTAGGTTAGAGCACGTCGTGGTAGGTCACTGTACGCGGGCTTGGCACGATGCGCGGGCGCGGGGAGTAGCGTATTATTATGTAATGCGAAATTTGTATTGTAGAGTAACCACCCATAAATACATATATCCGTTCATGCTCGATTTGGTGCCCAAGCGCAACGAGCCCCAACTGTATAGGACTGTTGCACTCTGTTCCTATATTTTTGCCAGGCGTTCAATAGAGTGGAACATACAGATATCGGGCGAAAAAGATGCAAATAGACGGAGACAGACGGGAAAAGACGACGAACGGCAAATAGCTTTTTGTGTGCATATGGACGGATATCTATGCATTCACCTACATACATGTGGATATCTGACTACTTCTGCCTTTTGGGCGGACTGAAACGGGCCAAAAAAGATGAGAATCGTGAGCAACAGGGAAGGTTCTCACTGGGAGTGACAGACTATATACCAATTGTAACAATTTTGTTCGATCCGCCTTCGCCTCATGCAAGCACGGAAATAAGTAGTAGGGCGTGCCATAGCGCGCTGGTGGAGACCGCACTCGACTTCGGCGCACTGGTTGTGGCGCGCTCATCTTCTCGGTCGGTATCGAAGCGCTATTGAAGCTATTTGACTAGCTATCTGGGATCAAGCACGAATGTCATGTTATCTCAGTGTTACGACATCGACGTCAGATATGAATATATGACAGTCCAGCCAATATATCGTTGCTCGTTAGAAATCTCTGGGCGCCTCATTTGTGACCATAGAGGGACTATCGTCATGGAACAAGGCCTTTTGAAAACGACAAAAACCTTAACAATACGATCTCTCTCCTATGAGGTCATAGGCTCACTCATGCGGCAGCTGAAGGTGAGCTAGATAGTGTGCACCCCCAGGGAGGAATCGGCGTAAGATGGGATCTGACGTCTCGATGTTGTGGTAGCAACTGTGAGCAAACGCACTACCTTCTGTCCGCCTGTTGAGCGATATATCCGCTCTCTAGATAAGTACCTTGGATCGTACACAATCACATCCTGACTGTCAAGGCATCACGCTGCAAGGCAAAGGACAGATTCTGAGCGATCCCTTTCGTGTAGAGTCACTTTAGACGTGCTGCTGTACGCGAGCTAAATCCACGTCATCCGACCGACTTAGACTAGTAAGCAAGCCCCTCAAACTTGTAAAGCCCAATCAACCTCTGAGTCAATGCTGACTTGAAACTCCGATAAACCGCGTCGTCGCCGAGCGCTGGGAGCCGTGTGATCTCAACTTGTTCGCGAACTGCCATCGTTTCATAACACTTGCTCATTCCTCTCATCACCATTGCTCTCGCCGGCGAGGGCCACCAGCCTGTCAGTGCTTTCTGCGCGTGCGTGCACAAGATCAACCGTCCAGAACGCCAATGTACGCCCCGTTCCCACCTTGATCGACTGGCCATGATCTATATCGTGATTGACACCCTGCCCTCCCCCGCCGCAGGCCGCTGCCCGACGAACGGCCACGTCAGAGTGTTGCCAACCTCATAGGCAGATTCGAGCAGCAGACTAAGAAGCAGCAGTCCGCGGGGTCTACCGTCTCGCCTCGGTCGTCGAGCGTCGCATCGCAGCACACTGGAGATGCCGCTAAGGAGGAGCTGAGGGAGAAGCGGGAATGGCCCCCAAAGCCCAAAGCCCCCATCGTTGCGAGCGGGTTCGAGTCTAAGGTGGAGGGTACGACCAAGTCCCCAGAGCCGCCTGCACCTGCACGTTTGCCTGAACCCGAGCCTGAGCCCGCGGCTGCACCTGCTGAACCCGGACCTACCGTTGAGGAGAAAGCTGCAGAGCCGGCTCCTGTGTCCCCTACAATTCCTGATAAGGCCGTCTCCCCCACTCCTTCGTCCCCGAAGAAGACCGCGCCTGCGTCCAAGCCCGCGTCCGGACGCCCATCTACCGCTACTGCGCGTACGCCTGCAACCCCGTCCAAGGCTCGCGAAGGGAGACCAAGCACTGTGAACGCGAAGTCCACCTCAGCGCGCACGCCCGCAAAGTCCCCACCATCTTCGTACCACCCCGGTCTATCGACCTCAGCCGTCTCCATCTCATCTACGGTGAAGACGGCGGGCTCCGCGAAGGCGACGCCGTCGCGGTCCCGGCCGTCCTCGCGTGCGTCGGTTACGCCTTCGCGGCCGAAGACCCCATCTTCTACTCGGCCGAAGACGCCTTCCCACACGACGTCCCCGAAGCCGAAGCCGACGCCGTCGTCTGGGCTCTTCGCGCCGACCGCCGCATCGCTCGCTCGCGCCCGCAACGCTGATGCTGGGCCGCCTCCCCCCGTGCGGAAGCCCACCGCCTCCAAGGACACGCTGGAGAGGCTGAGCAAGCCCACAGCGGCGAGCATCTCCAAGGTTCGCGCGCCCACCTTGCCCACCCATGCTCCGGCCAATGCGGGGCCTGCGAAGACGACCACTACGACTACGAAGACCACCTCTGCTACGCGTGCGACTCCTCCTGCTCCACGAGAGTCGCATACTACGCTCAAGCCGAGAGTTGGCCTTGCTGGCGCGAAGCTGAAGGATGCTAAGGCGAAGGTCGCACCTGCCGCCTCGCCTGGAGCTGCTGCTGCTACTGCTGCTGCTGCTGTACCCCAAGAGGAGCATCGCGAAGAGGCCGAGCACCATGAAGAGCTTGGTACGCACGAGCATGAGGAGTCCGGTGGTACCTTGGTCGACGAGCCCGAGCATGTGGAGCACCACGATGAGCCAGAGGAGATGCACGAGGGCGAGTTCCACGTCGAAGAGCGTCATGAGGAGGAACATCAGGACGAGGAGCTCCACGACGAGCAGCACGAAGTCCACGATGAAGCACCTCAAGCGGAGGAGGAACATGAACAGGAGCCTGAGCACGAAGAAGATCCCGTCGCGGAGCCCAATCCCGTCCCAGAGTCCGAGCCTGTCGAGCACGAGGACTCTACTGGGGAGCACAACGTTGAGGCCGAGGAGCCTCGCGAGGAAGAAGCCGCAGAGTCGCATACCACCGAGGATATATCCGTTGCATCCGGAGAGGCGGAGGCGGAAGCTTTTCATAGCGAGTCCGAGAGCCATGTCGACACCGAGTCCGACACGGTCGCAGGATCTGTCGCCGCAGACAAGACGGGCAACGATCTCGAGGACATGGTGAAGTTCCTCGAGACTGCCCCTGTAGTCGGCCCGATCAGCATGGTCGACATCCCCGACGAAGTCGCTAGTATCCCGGACGAGGACTGAAGTCAAATGGAAACGGGTACAGGGTTCGATGAGGATCAAGGTGGGTAGTCTGCCTCCCCATCGTCGTGATTGTTGAATGCAATATCGAATATCATTTACATGTATGTATTCTGAATACAGTGGACCGCAGTCGTTCTCTCTTCCTTTCAACCTGGTTTCCGCGCTTCATATGATACTCGTCAATCGCTCATGCTCTAACTTACAGATCACCCTTATTTTTCATCGATCACCGAACTCTCCTCTAATGCGTCCTTTCTGAGCCATCCGATGCCGCTGATATCTGCCACCACATAGTTCTGCCTGGTACGGTTACAGATACATACGCTTTCGTTCTCTCGTACCCTCGCATCCTCGTAACGATTCACGAATCTATACGTTAGTCTCGCGTTGTTTCTTGAGTCTTATGCTGGCGCACTCGCACCGTCTCCCTGTTCCGTCGCCACTAGTATACCAGACGCGTAGCAATCACAAGAGCAGTGAAACGGGATCACAAGTATTGTTCATAGCTTCCATTATGACGCCTGCGTTGACCATTGACCCCGAAATGACCGTGTCTTGAGAAGCTCCCTCACACATTCCTCTGTCAACCACCACGCGGACCATAGCAGTATGCCACGCTGGACAGCAAGCATGTGCAGGTGATGGAAAGAACATGCATTGGTTGACGGTATTGCGAAAGCGGCGTGTATTGGACAGGTAAACTGACGACGAACACGATATGTTGGTCTCCTCCAGAACTGCAGCCTCTCCTTCCGATCCCTTCTGCCTTGTCATGAGCACCAGCCGAAGCGACACCTCGTCGACAGCAGGAAACCAGTCAGAGCAAAGAAGCCATAGCCCAAGAGGAAGACCGATACTCCTAGAAGAAACATCTTCGAGTTGCTCTAGGGGACTGGAACGCGAGCAAGGATACGGAGAGCGACTCCCAAGCTCGAACTTTGTGTCCCCATGGATTTGTTCTGGAGAACTCGCAAACTTCGCGCCTCTGCTCTTATGCTGCTTTTGGCTTACCTAATGCTTTCCCAGGTGGTATGTCCAGAGGCGCCCATGATGCACGGGCCTGCGGGAAGACCGGGCAGCGGGTTGCCGGAGGGGGTGGCGTCGGATTTCATGCTTTCTGGCTTGCGAATGGCGACCGCGTAGTACTGACCAGCCCACCTGGCCGACAGCGTGCACTCACTTGTATCTTGCTCTTGTTTCGCTGCTACGTCGACCACCATGTCGTTCTCAAAACCGCTCACACTTGCGCGCGTCGAAGACCTGACTTTGGGGGCTTTCTCGAATGTAGCGCCATCCCAAACACTCGACCATCTCGTACGGTTCTTAAGCACATGGAGTGGTAGCGAGTTGAGTCTCGCTTGATGTCGTTTGGGTTGACGTGTCTGACTGAGTACATGGCATTGCAGCAAGCTCTTCATGGTACGTCCCCTGTGCGCTTCAGTTGAAGGCGGCAATTGACGCGTCTGCTATGACGGCATATCCCTTCAGATCATCCAATATACTGTCAAGCTCATCGTCCCCTTCCTCCAATGGCGCGCTCGTCTTCAATATGGCGCAGGCCTCCGGAAGGCACCCGTAAGCCCTGCCGCTGACAGGCTAGCAATACTGGGCAACCTCATTGGCGACGCTAGGATGTTCTTCAGAATCTGGGGTACGTCGCGAATGAAACCTAAACGCCCGAAGGGTGCGTCGCGCATCCACTCAGACGCGTTTTAGGCCTTCTCCCTATCTTCCAATGGCTGATCGCCCTCGAACGCAATTCGCCGCCGACGCGCTGGCTCCGCACAATCGAACGTCTCCAGGGGTGGTCTATGCTCGCATACTATCCTCTTGAGCACCTCTACTACTTGCTTTCCCACTCTGTGATTCCAAACAAGCTCCCGCTGCCGTCACTGACGGCGTTTATACCCTTCGTACGGACCAAACCTAGCGACAACCATATACCGTTGGATCTCGGCAAGCTCGGCCTGTGGTCTACCCGCTTCTGGGCTGCGTACGTTGTCCTCCAGTTGGCCCACCTGCAGGAGGACAGCAAGCTCCTCACTGCGCGGGAGCGTACGCTGAACAAGTCAAAGGTGGGTCCGGTGCTATGAAGGCGGTGATGGACATGTACTGACCGCGGTGCTTCTAAAGACTGGCGCGACTGCTGCCGAGAAGGAGGACATACGCAAGAGGCGAAGTGCCCTGTGGAACGAGTTTATTGTGAACCTGGCATACCTGCCGCTTACAATCCACTGGTACGTTATCGTTGCGTTCGTGCTTTTTCACGGCCGGTTTTGGACTTGCATTGCGGGAATGATTTCTCCCACACAATGGTCGCGGGCTTTTGTGGCTTTTACCATCCATTGTTGAACTCTCATGCTGGTATGACATGAGCATGCATCGTGGTTGCGGTGTTTCTTCTTTCCTTTATCGAACGGGGCTGTGTGCGGCTTCTCCGCTTGTGAGCAGATCTGGCTTCTGGATGTCTGATTTCGGTCGCCGTTAACGGCAGAGAATTCTGGAATGACAAGGCTGTACGCCCGCGCGCCTCGTGGCCTTGTCCACCCCACCCTTTCGAAGCTCCCCTCATGCCCCGCGGACACAGTTTCGAGCGCGAGCATAGTGCCACGAGCAGGCGGCGTTTTTCACCTAGCCTTCGCAGTCCTCGATAGCACACAATCTATGAGCCTCGGGGTGGGGAAAATACGACAGTCGGCGATATACGCGCGTCATTCGGGCTTATGAGTCACGTACACCGATTCTAATACTGGCTCGCGGCACGCCGTACGCCATATGCTGGGAAGTGGTACCTAACTTCCCGTATGCGCAGCGAACGCCTGCCACGGGTAGACGGCACGGCAACTGCGACTGTCAGCGAGACGCGACTGAGACGCAGGGGCCTGACACTATATCTGTTCATACGTGTGTCATATCTAGCCGCCATCTATTCGGCATGGCCAGCGCGTGCATTTAGGATGGGTTCTGTCTTCGAATGTGCGCGACTTATTGTCAAATGTGGATTCATTGGTCGGCGACGCGAGAGGTCATTCCAGACACGTATAAAGCCGCTTCTGCTGTATCTGTCTCTCATGTGTGGCTTCTATCACACCTTCGTCATTCAAGAGTAGTTGCTGATGCCCATCCTTACCGCAGGTCAACGGAGAAGGGAATCATCTCAAACGACGTATGTGCTCTTATCTTCGCCGCTTGTTACACGTTTCTTCCGTCCGTCGTCGGTCTTCCAGTCGTGGGAGAACTGGCCGCACATGATCACCATGCCTTCGCATTTACCTTTCCTTCGTAGAATGGTCCCTCAGGAACCTAGGAGCGAGGCGGCTTTGGATGTTCCGACGTCGGGATATGCTCTTAACGAACCCAAACACTGATTGCTGTGCCTCTGCTTTCTCACAGGTTTGGGTCAGCGTCCTAGGACTCATAGCTGGGGTCGCCTCATGGAAGAGCGGCTGGGAAGCGACAGCGCTTACACCTGCTCCTACCGTAGGCGACATTCCGCTTCCTGCTGGGGAGTCCACCGAGACAAAACTGGCACCGTACCTGGACGACCCGCTCAAGGATGTCATCACCGCCCCCGCGCTCGATGAGCTGTAATGGACGTGATCGGCCACTGCGTTTGGCGTGGATACGGCCGCAAGCCGTACGGGACCGGGTGCTTAGGACTCGGAGGCGCAGGCGAGGACACCGGCGTCAGGTCCCCCAGTTGACGCTTCTACGCCATCCACAATGAACACGGCTGTAAAGCATCGACATTGTTTGCATCTACGGGTATCTTTGTGTCTACTCAGAGATCCGTGATATTTCGGACATGTGTAGCTTGACTCCGGAACAAGCACATGAGGTCCTGACAGACCTTCTACGGAAAGGTGAGGTTAGATATCCAGTGCCCTGGAGTGTACCGCGATCCGCTGTTGGGCGGAGGAAGCCAAATGTGTAACGCGGGTTGTTGCTAGGAAGATGTCATTGAACTGCACGAGTGCCAAGTACCGAACGAGTAACTGTGGACCGTCATGTGGCGTCTGCCTCGTACTACTGAATATTGTGACTCGCATCGACCAGGGCTTGACTCCTTGTCTCCCCAGCTCCTCAGCTACTGGGCGATGACATTGGTAGCTGGGACGGTTGCCCCGGAGCGAGGAATAGGGCCTTATACGAAAAAACTTCCTCCTTCGCACTCATTCTAGCTGGCTATCTGGCCTGACCTATATCACATCGAATAATGTTGAAGTCTCTGGATATTAGGCATAGTCAAGCAATGGTTTGAATGTGACATCGATACACAACACGCGGCATCACCGTGAGCTTCTTGACAGTCAAACCTGGTACTGTGCGAACTTGCACGCTTGCCTAATTCGGACCGGAGATCTCGATCCCCCTGACTCGGCAACTCAATTAGGATCCGATTTGGGAGGCTGTGCATCAGGGCTCCTCTATGCCAATCCTCTCAGTGCAAGGCTCAACCTCCTCTCCCCTCCTCTCCTCTGTTTGTCTGAACAGGGCCATTGACTCTCCAAGCGACCTGCGGATGCTTTGAGAAGATTGCAGCCGCTTAGTCTACGTGGCTCAATCGGATCGTCAGAATTCGGGGAAGGGTTCTCATAATACACAGCCTCGAGAAGCTCCGGCCCTTGCCCGTCTTTGGTGCGGCGCGTGCCCCATGGCATGACGGTGCGCTCGTTCTGGGGTGCGCTAGAAACTTATGGGATGGGCCTCCGCCCCTCCAGATCATGACGCTTACAATGGTTCTGACTGGCCTCGATTCACGGACTCGACTTGGCTCCAAGGGTTTCCTCTATGCTGTGAGCGGACAGTCGGAGCGCCGTCAGCGGAGTCGGGTGGGGCTAGAGGCTGTTCCGCAAAAGCTTGTCCTCCGTAGCACCGACAGAATGGCAGCGGGACTTGGGCCGGTGCGCCCTCAACTATGCCTCAGAACTCTCAAAACTGGTCAGCTGTGGACATGACCTAGGGACACGTAGGCTTGCGGCTTGCGGATCTAACGTGAAAATATGCGAAGCAGTACAAGGCGCAGCGCGGGGGTGAAGAATATGCAGGAAACCAGGGTCATCCGGCTAATCATATACCGGTCGGAAATCTCATGGTACACGGTGAATATCGTGGTAAGTACATGACATTTGTCGAACCCTAGTATGTCGCTTCCGCGCCGCACCGATGCTTGTGGCCTTAGGTGCTGTGTTGGGTGAACAAACAAGCTCGGTGTGTATTCCGATCTCTAGTATTTTAGCTTGAAATTATGTAGAATCTATGTGATCTAACCACCGCATACGTTAGGTGCAATGCTCACGCCAAGAACCAGATTCCCTTGAATCCGAAGGTCGTGTCCTTCCGCAGCATCCCCTGTGCATTAGGACGATGTCTATGCATTCGCGAATCTAGCATCCAGTGCTAGGCTCGCAGCCTAACAGTTCTCATGGATCGGCTTGCGTCGAATGATCGCATTGGTACGCAATTGGCACTTACATGTGGATTCAGGTTTATGCACAAGGAGAAGACATGATATCACACATGCATAGGCAACGGTGGGTAGGCATTTATTGTGCCTACCACCCTCCTGGCTCTAACGCTGTGCCCCTGAAGGTTATACACGGCTGCGCTCCGGAATGCAGCTTACACGCTCACGATAGCGTCTCGGATCCTGATACCCTCGGCGTTCTTGACGACTACCTGGCATCCCTCAAGCGGTGTGTTCGGGTCACATCTATCCCCCTATGGGTTGCCGCAAGACGCGAGTATCGCAATAGGCTGCGCACGTCGCGTAGCTCGGAGACCATAGGCGTGGGCTGTGTATCCTGTCGGACGAGTGCGTGCCTGTCGATTAAGGTAGCGACCGTCAGGTCGTGGCAAGCAGCGAAGCTGCATGCTAACGGCCATTGTGCGGTCTCGATGGAAGTCAGGCCTCAATTTCTATTATTTCACAGGTCACAGCCTCAATGGTTCGATATGACATTGTCAGGAGAATCGTGGTAATACTGTCGCATACGACCCGAAAGCCGTAAATACACGATAGAGGCGAGCAGGCTAGGTACTATTAGAACAGCGACGACCATCCTTAATTGTCCTTCCTGGAGACGTTCCCCCTTCGTCTTGGAAGCTATGCCTAACAATATAACACGCGCAGTAATTCTTCTACTGTTGAAGTCTCCGAGAATCCAACGTCACCATATCAACCTACTTTGTTCTGCAAAATGTGCCACCAGCGAGCGTTTACGCGTGACAGGGCCGAATGCACACCGCACTGCGGTCTATCAGAGGCTAATCTCCCTGTATAACAGACTGCCGGGCTACCCTAATCATTACGGAAACTCACCTCTCTGACAAAAACGAAATGGTCCTCCATGGCACGACAGCGACTCGGAGGTCATGAGATTGTGCTGTGGGTCGCATAACATCGCCACGCCTTCCCAACGCGTAAACCTGCAGCACCCATGTATGCAGAAGCAGCGCTCACAAGACCTCTGCAGCAGCTATGAAAAGGTACGCCAGCTTTTAGGGATCCGCCGAACGATTGGTTCTACGGCGGTCAACTCGGCTTCTCGTCAGCATAGGTATATGCCGCCTGGCATGCGGGCCTAAGAACGAGCCACACGTCGGTGGCACTAGAATAGAAGGCGCAGTGCAGGATATCGCCGCACGCATCGCAGATGTGAGTCACCTCGAGCATTCCAACATCGGCGCTGTTCCCACATGCCGTCCGGTGGACTCTAATGGGTGTCCTAGCACGTTTTTCTATCAAATTTGTATTGAAAATACCCTTCTAATGCTCAAACAACTGACGTCGAATAACCCACCACATACGTACACAAAAGGCAAGGATGAGAGGCATAGGTGGCTCGTCACACGAGGACGCCACGCACCAACACTTGACTATATACGTACAGGGATATTATCAGGCGTCGCAGGATGAACTGGCCTAAGCGGGTATACGCCGCTCATGCGTCCCCCGCGGGGGATATCCTTGTAGTTTTACGCTTTTGACTATGCCGCATGTCAACATCCGAGCCCTGCATCATGAGCGCCGCGTTCAGTAGATGGCAGACGTCGGGTGTCGTACCCCTGACTTGCGCCGAGATATCTGGCGCTTGAACGGATGCCTGTACAGCTGCACGCAGACTAGCGCTGATGGCGTGTTGAGAAGTGTAGGCTCGGGCGTAGGCTCATGATGCATTCAGGCTACAGGGAAATATGAGCTCCTAGGGTGAGACTCGCAAGACAAACGCGTCTGGGCGCCCGCCTAGGCGGCCTGAGCACAGCTACCTGCGAACATCAAAACATATCAGCCCGAGATGTAGTTCAAGGAATGCACTTAGCTTGCTGCGCATCTAACCCCTAGGCGATGGCTCCGCCTCTGAGATGCAGATTCCTAGGACAGATACAAATCAGGAGTACTATGGAGGAACAGCACAGCGCGTTTAAAGGGGTACGGATGAGCTGGAGGTCCCAAGCCGCCTCCCTCGGACCGGGTGCGATGACTGGGAAGAGACGCAGAGGTACCGACCAATGGTCAGCGTCCTAGAGCACATCATCGTGAGCAATGGTTCAGGACCAACGCTCTGAAGCCGCTGTGATGGGCAAGAGAGCAGCATCAGATTAGTACCGTCCTCTGGTGGCACCTTTTATGCAGTTCTGTATCGCAATCCACAGGCTGCGCAGCTTGCGGGGATCGAAGTCGAAGATTTTTCCGAGATGATGACTTCACAAGAATCTAATCGCACACATAGATCGATCCTAGAACTTGGAAGATCGATGAGACGGCTGCTTCCCCTACAGAAGTAATCGTGGGCAGTGGCAGGAGATGCTGATACGTGACAGCCAGCTAACTCTAACTATGAGAAACAATGCAGTGACACACCTGGCCTAGAATGACATGCGGACGATCTTCACGAGACAGTCGAGAGCCGCGATGCAGTGCACAGTGGAGGTCGTCGAGTACTACCACGAGCGACACAGCGAACGCCCGGATGGACTGGGGGACACCACAGCATTGATTTCTTCTCCCGCTTCTGCCGTGCAGGAAGCGACTCAAACCGCCTTCGCATGCGATATCGACATATCATAGATGACGATGAGTGGGGTCATGATTTAGACAGCGTGAGAATCAGCGACAATTTCGCTACTGTATACAGAGCTGGTACCGATAGTACTCCGAGCCGATTCCCTATGAGTTATTGACAGATGCTATGCGATGCGAAGAGGTTGGCAGGAAGTGAAAAGATCTGCGCAACAGAAAGTTTCCATCCTTGCAATCAGCGGATCCTTGCGCGAGTCTCACAGAAGAGTAGATCAATACAACTGAGGCTACTTGCAGAGGGTTCCTCATGGTGAAGGAAGCGTGCCTCAGGGGTCCCCGAGTATAGTGTGTGGTTCCGCGCCTCGGACTATGCATCCGATCTGTTCAACAAAAGGGCGTTGTTCGCCCGAGGGGCATGGACCCAAGAAACGGGCAGGATGTTGTACCGACCATAAGTAGAACGTGAGAAAAGATTACAGAAGCACGGAAACACAACATTAGCTCCTCTTGGCACACGCACCGCCTCGATTCTGTATGGAACTGCGATTGCCAACGCCGGCCATACTAAAGCATCGGCTGAGGGAGGTTGAAAGTTCCCTTCTCCACGCCCTTCAGCCCTCCTCCCAATTCTCTTGCTCCCTCCGACATGTCCAGCGCCGACAACAGACCTCAGATCCCCGCTATAGTGACAACAGACCTATCGTCCACTAACTCGTCTACCATCAACCTTACTGTAGAACCTCCTGACGACCACAATGATCCTAATGTGGTGTCTCCAGACTCGGCGGCTCTGTCACCAACCGCAGCCCCTCGTTCGCCGCCATACGCGTCTCATCTGTCGCCATTGAATGTGCCGATTGCCGGCGGTCGTTTGTCACTCGATGCGCCGTCGCCGTACTCGCCGTCTCTGATGCCAGGCTCCCCATCTCCGAGCTTCACAAGCTCCACGGAGACCCACGTTCCCCCTTCTCCCACCCTTTCCACTCGGAGTTCCGTCCACTTCGCGCCACCGCAGACGTCCACCGCATTGCGGTACAACCGCCCAGAAGAAAGAACTGGTTTGTCATCCCTGCACCTGCTCACTCCGGATTACAACCGGCACCGGAGGAAGGGGAGCGTCGCGAGTTCGATGGACGGCTCCACGGAGGGAACTGAGCCCGACACGAACAGCATCAATATGCAGCCCTTGACCCCGCAGCACACCGGAGACGGCAGCACGATTGTATCGCCAACACAGACTCACTGCGACGGCGCGTCAGATGCCGACGCGACGACCGTGCGGGGAAGCTTGCGAAGCCGTCCCAAGCTTGACGAGCCCCCGAGCAAGGGCAGCGGCGAGGGTGCGCACGAAGAGCGGGAAGCGCGTCCAGCGCTCGATCTCGCGCAGGACGAGAACATCGACGCCGGCCCGTTCAGCTTCAAGCCGTACAGACTTGCGTCGCTCGTGGATCCAAAGAACTTGGACCTGCTGAAGGAGATGGGCGGTGTCACCGGGCTCCTTCAGGGTCTCGGCACGCATAGGAAGAAAGGGTTGAGTAGGAGGGCTTTGGGGAAGGCGCCTGATGTGTCCCACCACGAGTCGTTCGCGCCGCGTGTAGACAAAGACTCAAGACCAGGGGCCGGTGCCGGCGATGGCGCGTCACAACGCCATGACCGAGAGCCTGAGGCGAGTGACGTGCCGAAGCTTGTCCTTACTGGGCCTGGAGACGAGGACGGAGGGGGAATATCGTTGGCTGGTTCTCGGACAGACTTGGGCGAGGATGCTGGGGATGCGGAGCAGAGCAGCGGTTCAGCTTACGACGCGAACCTCGAGGAGCGTCGACGGGTCTTTGGCGCGAACACTCTCCCGATTCGGAAGACGAAGTCGCTGTTGCAGCTCATGTGGCTCGCTCTGAAGGACAAAGTTCTGGTGAGTTCATCTTTCATGAACGCGCTTAGGTGCATAATCATGATGCATCTTTCTTCAGGTGCTTTTGTCTATCGCCGCTATCGTTTCGTTGGCTCTCGGTTTCTTCCAAGATTTCGGTACTCCACGACCTGCCGGGGAGCCACCGGTTGACTGGGTGGAGGGCGTGGCCATCATGGTTGCAATCATCATAGTTGTCAGTGTGGTCTCTGACTTCTACATTTCTGGGGTGCTTATATGCGCAATCACCAGGTCATGGTCGGCTCCGTCAACGACTGGCAGAAGGAACGGCAGTTCCAAGCGCTCAACGAGAGGAAGGAGGAGCGAGGAGTTAAGGTCATTCGAGATGGTGTCGAGATGATTGTCGACATCAAGGAGGTCGTTGTAGGCGACGTCGCGCTGGTCGAACCCGGCGAGATTGTTCCCTGCGACGGTGTCTTCCTCTCTGGACACAACGTCAAGTGCGACGAGTCCGGCGCTACCGGCGAGTCCGACGCGATTAAGAAGATATCGTACGAGGACTGCCTCAAGAGCGTTGCGGAGGAAGGAGCCGGCGGAGGGGACCCCTTGAAACATACGGATTGTTTCATGATCAGTGGCAGCAAGGTGCAGGAAGGGTACGGCAGCTACGTGGTCATCGCAGTCGGAACTCGGTCCTTCAACGGTCGGATCATGATGGGTGAGTGGCATCCGCACAGTAGCGGCGTGGCCGTGCGCTTTCCGGACTTACTGTTTTCCCTAAGCTCTTCGCGGTGATTCCGAGAACACGCCTCTTCAACTCAAGCTGAACGACCTCGCGGAGCTCATCGCCAAGCTAGGAAGCGCTGCAGGCCTCGTTCTGTTTGTTGCCCTAATGATACGCTTCTTTGTCCAGCTCGGTACCCACAGCGTACAACGGACGCCGAGTCAGTGGGGCATTGCATTCGTTCAGATCCTTATCATCTCCGTGACCCTCATCGTGGTGGCCGTACCAGAAGGTTTTTAACTTCACCTGAACCGCGTGTTGGTATCAACTCAGGGTTTTTTTTGACAGGTTTGCCGCTCGCGGTGACGCTCGCTCTTGCGTTCGCTACCAAGCGGATGACGAAAGAGAACCTTCTTGTACGTGTGCTCGGTTCCTGCGAGACGATGGCAAACGCATCCGTCATCTGCACGGACAAAACGGGTACGCTTACGCAGAATGCCATGACTGTCGTCGCGGGCTCCGTCGGGATCCACTGCAAGTTCGTTCATCACCTCGAGGATAACAAGGCCCGCACGAATGCGGACGAGGAGCCGAACGTCTGGGATACGTCAACCTCCAAGAAACATACCGAAGACTTCTCGATTGACCTGGAGAGTATCAACGACACGCTCTCGCCCGCGATACAGGACCTGTTGAACAAGGCTATCGCGATCAACTCGACGGCGTTCGAGGACGACGACCCGGAGACAGGGAAGAAGGTCTTCGTCGGTTCAAAGACCGAGACTGCTCTGCTCAAGTTCGCAAAGGAAAACGGGTGGACCGACTACAAGGAGCTGCGTGAGGCGGCCGACATCGTCCAGATGCTCCCCTTCTCGAGCGATCGCAAGGCCATGGGCGTCGTCGTTCGGCTCGATAAACGCCACTACCGCGTCTACCTGAAGGGCGCGAGCGAGATCTTGACGAAGCGCTGCACGCGTCACATCGTTGTCGAGCGCGGCTCAAAGTCGGACGAGATTGGGACGAGCGAAATCGACGACTCCGCACGCGATAACATTCAGCGGACTATCATCTTCTATGCTAACCAGACTCTTCGAACTATTGCTATCTGCTACCGCGATTTCGACTGCTGGCCGCCGCCGGGCACGAACCCAGAGTCCGAGGATGAGGTACGTACGTTGTTCGCTGTCATTCCGAGAGGCTATAACTCTCCGCAGGTTCCATACGAAGATCTCTCTAGCAACCTCACGCTCATCGGCATCACCGGCATCGAAGACCCCCTACGTCCTGGTGTCCGCGAAGCTGTGGCAGATTGCAGGAAGGCCGGCGTCGCCGTCAAGATGTGCACTGGCGACAATGTTCTCACCGCTCGCTCGATCGCGTTGCAATGTGGTATTTATTCCGCCGGTGGCATGATCATGGAAGGCCCCGTTTTCCGGCAGCTTGAGAAGCAAGACTTGCTTGAGTTAGTGCCTCGTCTCCAGGTACTCGCGCGTTCGTCTCCTGAAGACAAGAAGCTCTTGGTCGAGACTCTTCGGGAACTTGGCGAGATCGTCGGTGTCACCGGCGACGGTACGAATGACGGCCCGGCTCTCAAGACCGCCGATGTTGGTTTCTCTATGGGTATCGCTGGTACCGAGGTTGCCAAGGAGGCATCCGACATCATCCTCATGGACGACAACTTCGCATCCATCGTTAAAGCGATTATGTGGGGTCGCTGCGTTAACGACGCGGTTCGGAAATTCCTCCAGTTCCAGATCTCGACTAATATCACAGCTGTCATCATCACTTTTGTCTCTGCTGTCGCCTCCGCGCAGGAGGAGTCTGTTCTCTCTGCGGTGCAACTGCTTTGGATTAACATCATCATGGACACGTTCGCGGCTCTTGCTCTGGCGACGGATCCTGCGAGCCCCGTTCTACTCGACCGCAAGCCGGACAAGAAGACTGCGCCGCTGTTCACTGTCGATATGTATAAACAGATCCTTGGACAATCCGCGTACCAAACCATCATCACGCTAATCTTCCACTTCCTTGGCGCTCGTATTCTCGGCCAAACCCATTCCGACAACACGTCCACGCAGAACCATAATAACACAATTGTCCAAACTCTGGTATTCAACCTATTCGTATTCGCTCAGATATTTAACTCTATCAATTCCCGCCGGCTCGATAATCACCTCAACGTTTTCGCGGGCATCACGCGTAACTACTACTTCATGGGAATCACCCTCCTCGGTACGTCTGCTTGTTCGAATCACTGACTCGTGTTCCCTGACGTTCTCGCAGAGGTCGCAGTTCAGATCCTGATCGTGTTTGTCGGTGGCGCCGCGTTCCAAGTTACTCGTATCGGTGGTCGTGAGTGGGGTATTGGCCTTGCGCTCGGTTTCGTCTCCCTGCCCCTCGGCGCCCTCATCCGTTGCATTCCCAATGGACCTATTGAGCGGTTCTTCATCATGATTCGTCTCCTGCCCAACCCGGACGTTCTCCCGACGGTTCGGGACGACGCGCAATGGAATTCGGCGATTCAGCTCGTCCGCGACAATCTCAACACATTCGCACACGTGCGCGGTGGCCGTGTGCGTGCGTCGTCATATGTGGGCAAGAGTCGGAACGCCCGCCTCGCACCGGAGTCTCGCGTAGCACTGTGAGTTTCATTACAACCTCCATGCCACGTCGTTCCCGAGGTTTCTAACTTGGTATCTATAGTCCGTCCATCATGACCATGGTGCCTACACTCATCGCTTCTTCCATCGGTGCTGGGTGGGCGCCTCAGTCGCCTACTGGTTTGTCTAACCCAGCGAGCTTTGACCCCTCGAAATCGTCGGCCGCCCTCTGGGAGGGCAAGATTCAGATTCACCCTGAGACCAAGCCGGACGATCCTGTCATGCAGCGCTGGGGGGCCGTTGCGAAAAGGACATGATACGCATCGCTGTCGGACGCTTTGACCACACGGACCGCACGGACCGCGCCGCCCGCGCTCACGACATGTTGCACATATTGCGCTACACATAATGATCGCGCCGACACTCCGAATTCACCTCGAGTAGCATAGACACGTCAATATCCAACCCAGCATCGTCCTCTACTTAATATCACTTTGCATCCACAAGAGCTTTGCCGCATTCGCACCTCGCACGCTTTACGCATATTGATGACACGCATGTGTACATGTATATACGCCGCATTTTCGCTCTCGACCCTTCGCGTACCCATGCATCTTTTCGCACTCCTGGAGCCCATTCCATTTGTTTCGCAAACACTTCATACGCTATGCATAATAGAGTTTTATGATGTTTGCCCGGCGTGTCGTCATGTCACAGCCGTTGTGTGCGAGCCCCGAGCGGGTTTACTTCGAAAGCACGGTGAATTCATTCCGACATATCAAGTCGATCTCGGGGCCGGGACGTGATCGATGATCCGTGGAATGATCTTCTTTGAGTTCAAGCAGGTGCGAGCTCGGTCATAGTTGAGATGTCCTTCGTCCGCTGATGCTTTTTCGTATGTCGAGATCAATTATAGCACAGACACCGCTGCGAGCCAACACATTAGGCCGAACCCCCGTTCAAGGGCTGACTATTCATGTTGCTGCCCGTGAAGAGCGCTTATGGGCAGGCCCGACATATAGCCGTTCCACTCCATTGTGTCGACCATGCGTAGTTCAATGACCTCGGCATCACGAGGACGCACTTGCAAGGGCAGGACCGCGCTTCGATGTTCGGTGTGGCCGTGAGCTGTCAAGCCCGAGTGTCATGGCTAGCGCAGGTGTCCACGTCGTACAGCTCGCGGGGCTCGCAACACGCTGTTGACTTGGGTCTTCCTAACTATGCTGCTTCCACCATTTCGTCGATGATATCCCGCCGACGGGTCTGGAGCGTTCCAAGGATTGGCGAGGTGTTGGTATAAAGGCGAGTTGTCGACTTAGTCTCTTGTCACCTATCAAGCTACTGGAGTAGTTCCACGGCTACCGTCTCCCGGCACTCAGCAAACATGAAGCTCTCGGCCACGTTCTCCGTCCTCGCCGCCGTGCTCCCATACGCGCTCGCTCAGTCGCAGGAGTGGGGTCAATGTGGTGGTATTGGCTGGACTGGCCCGACGACATGTGTTGCGGGCACAGTCTGTACGGTCATGAACGCGTACTACTCCCAATGTCTCCCTGGCAGCGTGAGTAGTCAATCCATGGACGGCTCCACTCGATCCATGCCTGGTGCTCCACATGGGCCTGACAATGTCTCACTACTCTGCAGGCTTCGCCTTCCCCCACGTCAACTCCCGCCGCTCCGCCAACCTCTACCCCGCCAACCTCTACGAGTGCGCCGGCACCCTCCGGCTCTGGTCTCAACAAGCTCGCCCAGGCTGCTGGCAAGAAGTACTTCGGTACCGCGACCGATAATAGCGAGCTCACAGATACGGCTTACACTGCCATCCTCGACAACATCGTTGAGTTCGGCCAGCTCACGGCAGCCAACTCCATGAAATGGGTACGATTGAACTTTAACTCTTTTGAGACGATGCTGATCGCCATGGCAACTGTAGGATGCCACCGAACCGACTCGCGGTACCTTTACCTTCTCTAGCGGTGACCAGATCGCCAACCTCGCCAAGGCGAACGGTCAGCTCCTCCGCGGACACAACTGTGTCTGGTACAATCAACTCCCGAGCTGGGTGTCCAATGGCCAATTCACCGCCGCAGACCTGACGACGGTCATCCAGAACCACTGCGGCACGCTCGTCGGCCACTACAAGGGCCAAGTCTGTGCGTATGCGTTCACCTACTCTGGATGACGTCGCTGACCTCGTAAGCTTCGCAGATTCCTGGGACGTCATCAACGAGCCGTTCAACGATGACGGCACCTGGCGCACGGACGTCTTCTACAACACGCTCGGTACGAGCTACGTCGAGATCGCGCTCAACGCCGCCCGCGCTGCGGACCCGAATGCGAAGCTGTACATCAACGACTACAACATTGAGCAGACAGGCGCGAAGGCCACCGCGATGCTCAACCTCGTCAAGTCCCTGAAGTCGTCGGGCGTACCCATCGACGGTGTCGGTTTCCAGTGCCACTTCATCGTGGGCGAGGTGCCGACGTCGTTCCAGTCCGTCCTCGAGCAATTCACCGCGGCCGGCGTCGAGGTCGCGATCACGGAGCTCGACATCCGCATGCCGACGCCCGCAAGCCAGGCGAACCTCCAGCAACAGCAGAAGGACTACCAGAGCGTCGTGCAGGCGTGCAAGAACGTCGAGGGCTGTGTTGGTATCACCCTCTGGGACTTCACCGACAAGGTACGTGTGCAATCATGGCGCGTCTGCAACGTTCATCTCACGAGGACTGGTGCAGTACTCCTGGGTTCCCAGTACCTTCTCCGGTCAGGGCGCGGCGTGCCCTTGGGACCAGGTCAGTGATTGGTATTGGCTTCGCTGCGATACCTGTGACCGATGCATCTGCGACAGAACCTCGTCAAGAAGCCGGCGTACAGTGGTATTGTTGCAGCTCTCTAGATTCCTTGTCAGGGCTACGTGGATTCTCCGGTGCAAAAGTATCTCTCATGTATGATTTCCATCATTGCAGTCGAATACAGTACATTGCCTCTCTCCAAGGCGGCACGATCTCCGGTATCTTCACCCGTATCTCTGAAGATGTGATGCTTTGCGTTTTGTTCACCACTTCTCGTGAGCCGGGCGGACTGCATCCAAGGTAAGCTCGAGTATGTTAGGCACAGTTTCACGGGATACTTACAATCCAACTCCCAGGTCCAGGCAGAGCGGTCCTGTTCCACCAAGTTCAGGTAGTTCTGCAATGACGTCAGTGCCAAACAAGACAATCAGAAATGGATCAGCTCACATTCGCCAGGCTGGTCGCATCCAGCCGGACATCGAGGTCGTTCTTGTACCTCTCTGCCTCTTCACCCGACCGACGTTCAAGTCCTTGGCCGGTGAGTATGGCTGCGGCCCCACGTGATCTGGTCAGCACGCGTGTCGTTGCTTTGACTAGTACCGATACGTACCTCCGTCGATGATGGCCTTGATTGAGTGCTCAAAAGTCAGTGCTTCGAGCAACATCGAATGTCACATCTATACGCACATGAGCGACGTGGATGTTCTGCTTCCCGAACTCCTTCGCAAGACTCTGGCTGAGGGCGCGAATCCCGAACTTGCCTGCGGCAAACGTGCTAGTCGTGACGTTGCCCCTAATGGACGCTGTCGCGCCGGTGAAGATGAGCGTGCCTCGCTTTCCGCGCGCATCAAGCGAGTTCTCCTTGAAATTGAGGATAGCCCCCCGCGAGAAGGCGAACGCGGCGGTGACGTTCACCTGCAGGGACTCAACGATGTCCTCCTCGGTGACGTCGAGGAAGCCTTTCCGCACGCCCGAGCCCGCGTTCCACACACCAACGCGCAGCTCAGAAGGCCCTTCGGAGTTCCACTTGTGCGCGGAGATGGTGTCGAACACGGACAGGGTGGCGCTGTATGAGTAGTCCGGGACCGGGAATGCTGCCGCCTAATATGAAGTAAGCAAAAGGGGCACGGCTCCCATTAGCAAACATCGTTGCGCATTGGCACCACGGGTAAGCTGACGACAGACCTCCCCGCCTTCGTTGTTGATTTCGCCCGCTAAGCGGTTCAGGTGGTCAGCATTGCGCGCGACGAGAGCAACACGATAACCCTTCTTCGCAAAGAGACGACTGCAGGACACGGAGGTGAGTATTCCGATACGTCATGCATCTCTCTTGATTCGCACGCACGCAGTCGCCGCCCCCGTGCCTGTCAGTATCGACGCCCATCAGCATATATCGACTACGTGCGGACTAGCATCAGCTCAAGCACACCTGATCCGTTTCCAATTCCCGCGACAACTAACAGGGGTTTGGCCGACATGTTTCAAAATGAGTAGACTGGTGGAGATGGTGTTACGGGGTCAGACGACGACAACTCGGGCTCGACGAGAATGCCATTGGCCCCGAGATAACGCGCCCCTTAAATATCCCTTCTAGACCTCATCCAGCACCATAATGTCGTGCTCGTCCTTACACATCACATTCCCTCGACGTGCATGGGACCGGTACTTCTTTGGGATACTCGCTGCTCGGGCTCAGTCAACATATTCGTAAGGCAGCCTGAGTATGTCTACTAATCTATGAGTTTTGGCAGAGCGCAAGGTGTCTTACACTCGGACTGCTTGAATACGCATGCTTCTTGGAATCCATGAGGCGCGATTGCTAGCCGTTTTGGTTTCCCTATCCCCGCGGGTTCAATGCCGAGATTCTACGCAGGATGGATGGTACGTGCATCGGTCATATGAGAGGGGATCCTGAATCCTGAATCAGCTTCACGTCTTCTAATGGACAAGGTTATGTATCAAGCAGCGCCTTGGCCCTAGAGGCGCTCTGTATCCCCGAGTACCGGAGGACAATGCACGCTTACTCATGAGTACATGCCATGGTATCCACGATTCCATTCGATGACAGTTTTTGTTGTGTCCGGACTGACAGCTAATTCGTGGCTGTACCTTCCTACCCTGCGCCTCACATAGGCGACATGACCAGATTCGATACTAATGTACTAACATGATCTAATCTCCGGCTATTGCTATCTTCACTGTACACCAGAGACACCCGAATGGAAGCCTAAGTGAGGTGTGATTCACTCATGGTACCTTCACCTTCTCCAGAGCAGTGCTAGCGGATTGCCTACTTCGCCAGGACAAGTGGCGAGCTTCTCCTTTTCCATGTCCACAATAACGAATGGGCCGCCAGGTACAACGAGCTCCCGATGTACTTGCCGTTTCAATCGGGAATTGAAGTAGGTTTGCGGGCGAACATCGTCCTTGCTGCAAAGTGGCATCCGGATTTGCAGGCGGTTTCTTGGGTGGCTAAATAGCGCGAAACAGGTCTATACTCGCTTCGGGACTGCAACCTTTTTGGCAAAGCACTGTAAGATGCGATTCCGGCCCCGAGAATCTCAAAGACGTTTTGATCTGTTGCGTACAGCTGTTTTAAAAGCGATAGGCCCCTGCTCGACCTTTGACACACGCTGTCGGACCATGGAGTTCAACTCCCGGGGTAACTTGAACTCAGCACGTTAGCCGCACCCTTCGATGTCACAGCTCGAGCAGGGTGGACGTGCCCTTGGGATCAAGTAAGTCGTAATATTTTGACTCACTGCGAACCCCTCGCTGACGAGTACTCTCATAGAAGCCGCCCTACAACGGCCATTGAGCTCTCTTCAAGGTTACATGGAAGTTTCACCACGAAAGAAACTCCTTAGTCCGATGAACTATATCTGTCGAGTACATGACGTCGCTTGGTCCTTACGAGTAGGCATAATGTGAGATGGCATAGCTAATCCCACCAGCCAGTTGCGCTTGACGTCCCATTCACCACTTTTCGTGAGCGGGGCGGACTGTGCATCGAAGGTGAGATTGAAGTCTGCTAGGGGGAGGTTTACGCGTTGCTCACGATCCAATTCCCAGGTCCAGGCAGAGCGATCCTGCTCCACTAGGTTCAGGTAGTTCTGCAACAATATTAGGGCCCAACAAGACGTTCAATAAACGGGTCCACTCACGGCTGCGATGCTGTTAGCGTCCAACCGAATGTCTGGGTTGTTGTCTCTATCGACCTCTTCACCCGACTGGTATGCGGGTCCTTTGGTGGTGTCGATGACTGCGAATCTAGGTAAGGCATCGACCCTAGCTACTCGATAGTTCCCATAACTTACCTCCATCGATGATCACCTAGGTTTGCGGCATCTGAAGTCAGTGCTTTCATCCGAAGCGTTAGACATCAAGTCTACACTCACATGGGCGACGTGGATATTCTGCTTCCCAAACTCCTTCGCGAGACTCTGGCTGAGTGCACGAGTCCCAAATTTGCCCGTAGCGAATGTGCTCGTCCTGACGTTGCCTCGCAGAGAAGCCGTCGCGCCGGTGAAGATGAGCGTGCCGCGCCTCCCGCGCTCGTCAAGCGGATTCTCCTTGAACTTGAGGATGGCCCCACGCGAGAACGCGAACGCGGCAATCACCTGCACCTGTACCGATTTGGCGATGTCCTGCTCGGTGACGTCGAGGAAGCCCTTCCACGCGTCCGCGCCTGCGTTCCACACGCCAACGCGAAGTTCAGAAGGTCCCTCGGAGTTCCACTTGTGCGCAGAGATAGTGTCAAACACGGACAGGGTGGCACTGTAAGAGTAATCCGGGATGATGAATGCCGCTGCCTGTCGCGGGTAAGCGCAGATCATTGACAGCACGAATATGCCGAGGCAACATACCTCCCGGCCTTCGTTATTGATCTCACTCGCGAGACGATTCGGGTGGTCGGGATTGCGCGAGATAAGCGCCACGCGGTAACCCTTCTTCGCAAAGAGGCGACTGCAGGACACGGAAGTGAGTGTCTCTACACGTTAGTCTCTCTTCGAATTCTACACGCACGCAACTGCCGCCCCCGTGCCTGTGAATAGCACACCGATCAGTACACATGAACTATATAGGGCTAACATCAACTTAGTCATACCTGTTCCGTTTCCAACGCCAGCGACAACTAGGACCGGTATGGCAGACATTGAACGAGATGTGGTGAAGATGGTGAATAAGGAGCTGGTGGTTTGTGGTTAGAAGACCGTGGGCCCTAAGGAAGTGTAGGCCTTAAGTATCTCCTCGGAACCTCTTTTGGCGTCAGCATGTCGAGCTTCGTTTTACACGCCATCTTTCTTCATAATCATTTCCATGGTATGGGCCGATGCGACCTATTCTGCTATAGGAGGTTTTCTGCTCAGTCTCAGTAAACATCTTCGTAACGCAGCTCAAAGCAGTACTAATCCACAGGTCTTGACGCTCGGGCGCTCAGCGCGTGACATGAGCAGCTGGTAACCCGGCATCAAACCGTACATTGCATTCGTTGCGATTTCCATACATGCTTTTGTGAAGTGGCAGTACCTAGGCACGAGCGCCCACCGCCGTCGGTTTACGCAGTCAGTGCGGCGACGATGCCGTTGTATGCGGGCTTGATGGCGAAATTCTGTGACAACGGACGCATCAAAGTGATTAGTGAGTATTGGTCATACGAGAAAATCTCTTAATAAGCTTCACCTCATCCCATGGGCAAGCAGCGCCTTGGCCGGAGAAAGTGCTCGGGACCCACGAGTACTGGAGGAGAATGCACGTCAGTGAGTGCGTGCCTTTGGGATGTATCTGCCGTTCGGCACGGCCAAGCCCCGAGTACTCGAGGTCGAGAAGCCCACCTTGTCTGTCCAGTCCCAGATCGTGATGCCGACACAGCCTTCGACGTTCATGCATGCTTGCACGACGCTTTGATAGTCCTTCTGTTGTTGCGCGAGCAGCGCCTCCGTCTCAGGGAGCGTCATGCGGATGTCGAGCTCTGTGATCGCGACCTCGAGCCCGAGCGCAGTGAACTGCTCCATGACGGTCTGGAGCGAAGTAGAGACCTCGCCCACGATGAAGTGGCATTGGAAGCCAACGCCATCGATAGGGACACCGTCTGCGATGAGTTCTTTTACGAGATTGAGCATGGCGGTGGCCTTCGCGCCAGTGTTCTCGATGTTATAGTCGTTGATGTATAGCTTCGCGTTCGGGTCGGCAGCGCGGGCAGCCTTGAGTGCAATGGGAACGTAGGTTGTGTTGAGGGTGTTGTAGAAGATATCCTGGCGCCAAGTACCGTCGTCGTTGAATGGCTCTGAATATGACCCCGCTGGTCAGGCTATATAGGTATAGAAGCAGGGGAGGGTGCGCACCGTTAATGACGTCCCAAGAGTCTTCATCCGTCCACATGTGGTCAGCACAGTGTGCATCAGCCAGAGAAGACAGCAAAGACACTTACAACTGCAAACGCGGACCGTCTCAGTGTCATTTTGCAGTTTGAAGACAGTTTCGATACTCACATTTGACCCTTGTAGTGGCCGACGAGAGTGCCGCAGTGATTCTGAATGACCGTCGTCAGGTCCGCAGCGGTGAAAGTCCCGTCAGAAACCCAGCTCGGGAGCTGGTTGTACCAGACACAGTTGTGTCCGCGGAGGAGCTGACCGTTCGCCTTGGCGAGGTTGGCGATCTGGTCACCGCCGGAGAATGTGAAGGTGCCGCGAGTGGGCTCGGTAGCGTCCTTGCCACGTTCACGTCAGCCACTTCCATATGGAAAGAGGGATTGGGTAGTTACCCATTTCATGCTATTTCCGGGGGTGATTTGACCGAACTCCTTGGAGTCGTTCAACTTTGCGGCATAAGCTGTGTCGGTGAGCTCGGGGTTGTCTGTTGCGGTTCCGAAATAGAGCTTCCCGGCAGCCTTAGCGAGCGTGTGCAGGCCTGCAGTCGAACTCGGGGTCACCACGGAGGTCGATGTCGGCGTCGAGGGTGCAGTCGTGGCCTGTGGTGCGACTGGGTTAATATATGTGCGGGGATGGCAGAGTATGGAGCAACACACGGTGCCAGGAAGACACTGTGAATAGTAGTCATTGAGGACAGTGCATGTTGTCCCGGAGACGCAGGTAGTTGCGCCCGTCCAGCCAATGCCACCACATTGACCCCACTCCGCAGACTGCCCAAAGGCGAAGGGCACTAGTGCAGCAAGGACAGAGAACGCGGTCAAGAGCCTCGACATCTTGTTGACGGAGTAGCTGCGTGTGAGAGTGGCGTCAAAAGGTCGAAGGCAACGCTGGAGCCACGTCTTTATAGCCCCAACAGTTAGGCTACGGTACTCAAGGGGAGAAGATAGAGGGGAAAGAGGGACACGCAGCCCATATGCCTCACCACGGAACATCATCGTAAGAATAATGGAGCACCTGCGCGGACTGCGACGACGGCAACGCATCATACCCGTTCTTGTCCCTGCAGACCGTGACCTCGGCTTTCCGAAAGCAAGCATGACCTACGACAGCGCAGTGTATGAGCATCTAGCAACGGAAATACATCCGAGAGACCTGCTGTTGCTGCCGGGAGGGGAGTCGCGTGATTGACGAAACGGCGCGGATGTGCGCATGGATGCTCAAAGGAACGAGGCAAACGGCGTAATCTCGGTGCCTGATGGAGGCATGACCGGCATCTAGATGGGCGGTCATTGCTCGGATTTATGTAGCGTCGAGGAGAAGCGCTTTGTGGCAGAGCCATGCTAGCCAGCAGATGCTAAGAGACAGTTTTAGAGCAAAACCTTCTGCACCGGATGTCAGAGATCCAGCAGAAGGTATGCATAGTCCGGGACTCACCATTGTCACCAACAGGGACCAACCCGGACCGCCCTCCTTAAGGGGAGGACGGGGTGCACTGCGCTTTGTACGGACCCCACCCAAAGACTACAGGATCTGGCCTTACAAAGCAATACATTGAATAGACCAAGGAAGTCGAGACCAACCGTCTGAAATGAATCTGCTGCACAAGCACGCGAACCCTTAACGCTCGCCTTCGTCTTCACCATCGGTCCCACTACTATCCTCGTCGTCGCTTGCGACTCCAACGACGCCGCCGCTCTGCTTCTCCCTAAGTACCCTGCCAGCTTCCGCGAGCTTCGACCCGAGGACCTTCCGCGCTCCCGCGTTCGCGCCGATGTCCCAGACCTGCAGCTTCGCCTTCGACCCCGCGGCCGCGAGGGTGAGGGGATCATCCGGAGACCACGCGGTCGAGAAAACCTTGCCCTGAATACCAATGGAGAAGGCTTATGAATATCCATTGGGGACGCATATGAAGATGGGAGTACGCACCACGCCGAGGTCGCGCGAGGTGACGAGACTGACTTGCCTTTTGCCGCTATCTTGGTCCTCGGCGACGTTCCAGACCTTGACGATCTTATCTGTGCCGCCGGTGGCAATAACCCCACGGACGTGCGGGTTGACGTCGAGTGCGGACACCGCGCCGTCGTGCGCGGATACGGTGAACTGTGCGGGAGAGGGCGAGCTCAGGTCGGAAGGGAGTGTCCGCGCGTCGAAGTTCAGGACAAGACCGTTCTCGAGCGAGACCTGACGAATGATGGTCAGTATGGTGCCACAGCAGAATGCGGATAGTAAACGCACATAGAAGCTATGTGGTTCGAAGGGATCCCACCGCAATGCCTCCACGTCCGCAGCGAGGAACGCCCCCACGCCAGCATCCGGCGCCCTCGAGTCGAATGTCCTCACGGTCCTATCATAGCTCCCCGTCAACAACACCGTCGGCTCCGCCTGGTTCCACTGCACCGCCTGGACCTTATCCGTATGCACGTCAAAGCTCCTCAATGCGCCCTCGCCATCGGCCCCCTGCCCTGTGATCGTCGGGTCGCGGTTCAGGTCCCACAGCTTCACGGTCTTATCCGCGCTCGCGCTCGCGAGGAGGTTCCGGTGCGTGCGGTTCCACGAGAGGCTGAGGACAGCGTCGACGTGGTGTGCTGCGCTCGCGGGGCGCGCCTTCGTCTTCTTGCGTTTCTTCTTCCCGGTTCCAAGGGGCACGGGGACGTGCGCCGCGGTCTTGTCTGGGCGCCCGAGGACCATGTCGGGGTACATGGCGTCGACGGTGTCGAGCGACCAGATCTCGATCTCGGGCTCGAGCGTGCCGACGGCGATGAAGTTACCGAACTGCGACAATGGGTCGCCGTTTGAGTTCGGAGAGTCGCGGCGGGCAGGGGAGGAGACAGGGGGGAAGTCGAGCCATTCGAGGCAGAGTGGGAAGGAAGGGAGCATGAGGTCGTGGTGAGCGTAGAGGTTATCTTCGGACTCTTCGTAGACAAAGATCTCAAGCTGTGAGATCTCGTCTTCGGTTTTGGCGACAACGAGGAGGTTGTCGGTGGGGAGCACCTCGAGCTCTTCGCGTTCTTGATCCTCTTCGTCTTCTTTGAGGGTGATGAAAGGGTCTTCGTCGTTGTTCCGATAGAATGTGAGGCCCTTGATGTTGCTGAATGGGCCCATTCCTACATACGCACGGCATTTTTGTCTGAGCTTCCGAGTGCGTAGCTAGGCACTTATCACCGATTCCACATAAATGCACGGCACTCACCTGGCATTGCCTCATCGTTATCATAATCGTCCAGGTTATATTGCGAAAGGTCCTCCCCGCTGGGTTTTGATCCCTGCGGTTTGGGCTCTTGGTCTTGATCCATGGGTACATCCTCATCCATCGCATTTTCATCTTCACTTCAAACTCGTGCACTCAAGATGCATGCAAGAACACAAGCCGCAGAAGAACTTACTCAACCCATGCGCTCTCATCGTCCTCATCCGCATCATCTGCTTCTTCTCCCTCCGCACCTTTGCCCATCGACTGCGCAGCCTTGTGCGCCTTCTCTAGCTCCTTTCGCGCATCCTCGAGCTCTATCCGAGCGAGCGCGCTCACGCGTTCGAGCTCCTGATCGTCAAGGACATACTTTTTGGGATGCTGGGACGCAACCCCTCGGCGTACCCTGGGTTCTGTGTTAAACACAATGGCACAAAGGCATGAGGCTACAACTCACCAGGCTACTGAAGATATAAGACTAGTCATGGTCCAGTTTAACAAGGGCGATTGGGGTGCGACTGCGAGGACGCAAAATTCAGATCTCAGATTGCCCCACCTCTCCTCCACGTGATCGAGGCGCATCGTTCGCGCCCGAGCGCGTCGTCGTCGTGTTGTCGTCCACGCTCAACGTCCCGGACGACAACCACGGCCGCGATGCTCAGGTAAACCATCCCGCTACCCTATACACTAGATAGAGACCAAGCTCGTCTGATGCTCCAGGAACCAACTCCTTCAGCTTGCCGTGCCCCTCGTAAAACAATACGGCTTCACGCGAGAAGCTCTCGCTCGCTCGGTTCTTCATCTACCTGCACCTCATGAGCAACCTCTCTCTGAGGCTGCCGTTACCTCCTTGTTTGGGGGTGGGGACGATGCGCGGAGGACACTCATAAACGGATGGTTGGACATTGCCAGGGCGGAGATGAAGGCGTCGAGTTCCCCTACGTCTTCCCTGCGAGACGTGCTCGCAAATAGGCTACGCGCCAATGAACCTGTCTTGCCTCTGCTCCCAGAGGTGGGCTGCATATATCATGGCGTATGCGTTGTTATACTGATATCCTGCAGGCTTTTGCGCTGCTCGCATCGCCATCGTCTGGCTTGCCACCTCTCGACCCGATCCCAGGATTGAAGCACGTCTCCAAGATTGCCGACGACGCCTGTTATTTGACCGGAGAAACCTCCGTTGGAGTGAGAGACTGCTCGCTCTGCATCTAAAATGCCCACGCTGACGTTCCCTAGCCTGCTTGGTTCCGTCGACGAGCCGCCGTGGCGGCTGCGTATGGTGCTGCAGGTGCGCACACCCGATCCCTTCCCTTATTCGTCCTCCTCACAAATGCTGTTCATCCCCAGAGCTACACCAGCTGACGTCACCGAAGACGACGTATCAGTTTTTGGACCAGGTGCTCAACCTCACGAACAAGGTTGACACTTCCGTCAGCGAAGTAGAGCAATTTGGAAGATATATTCTAAGAAGCTGGGGAGGCACCATCCGAAGTCGTGGCATCTTCCCTTGATTCTTCTTGTCCCATGAAGTGACATCTTGCGGCGGTTTTGTCCCCGCGCAAAAATGTTGTTGCTATGAGAAGTTTGCTCGTACAGGGACAAACCCGCGGAGGGTTTAGCGCGAAGCACTCTTGAGGAGCTACCAATACGTCAGTATGTGACATCGTGTTCGTGCGAGCGATGCATATGACCATCTTTAGCTCGCATTTTTCCTTGCGTTGTTCGTTGCCAACTCACGGACCTTAGGAGTGCGGATGATGATTACATAGAGGCTAAGCTTCGTTTGCACATCTGTGCCGTATGCGTTTATCGAAAGCATCTGGCAAATGGCGCAGGGAAAGAGCGCGCGATTATTATTCCTCACTCAAGCGCTGCAACCGGGCCGGGCTACGACGGTACCTGCAACATCCATTCACTTCAATGAACTCGGTTTTGCTAGATGACGGCAGGTGGCTCCTGTTCGGGCATCAGGACGCATCGCGTCAACATGTGAGTCAGCCTTTAGAGATAGCGCGGCATCTCACATCCTAGTGCGAGTCGTCCCGAATCGCTGGGAACCCGAACTCGATAATGTGAGTCGCTTCACCTTCATGAAACGTACACTTTGTTTACACAAGACGACCCGTCATAGCTGACTGTACAGAACCCCTGCATAGAATGAGCAGAGAAACCGCGAGTCTTTAAGGGGCGTCAACAGGGTTCCAGGTCACCGCGCCCGCCTTACCCTTGTCCAGAGCATCCAGAGCTGCCATGTCATCCTCGTCCAGCTCGAAGTCATACACTTCCGAGTTCGATAAGACTCTTTCGGGACGTGAGGACTTGGGAAGCGGGACGAAGCTAGGGCCCAAAAGCACTGTAAGCTCATACTTTCGAGCATAAGATAATGACATATCGCACCCATGCTGAAGCGACCATCGGATAGCTATCTGGGCCGTATCTTTGTTGTACTACAAATGGAGATACCTCAGTCTTGAGATTGAGAGGCACCACAAGGGAGAGATCACCTTCTTAGACAGGTGTTGTAGCACAGGATGGTCGAGCCGCCCGCGAACCAAAGGCGAGTATGCTTGGACAACGATGCCATTTTCCTCGCAGTACTTCGTGATGGGTCTCTGCTGGCAGAAAGGGTGCAACTAATGGTATGGTGAGCGTGAAGATGAAGGTCAGCTAGCTGTCCTCTGCGGCTGACATGATAGTACATGATACCTCAATCTGGTTTACGGCGGGTATCTCCAGTCCGGCGGCCCGTATCTCTTCAATATGCCTTCCAGAGCTGCGGTGAGGAAGTACAGCGGCAACGATCAGTGTCATGTCACCCCTCCGGAAGTGAAGGAACACAAGACGGACTAGTTCGACACGCCGATGGACCTGACTTTGCCGGCTTTCTTCGCGTCGATGAGTGCGCGCCAGGTTTCGAGGCGCCTCTGCTTCCCGGACAGCGGGCTATGGATCAAATAAAGATCGAAATACTCTGGAGGCACACCCAAAAGAGCATGAGCCGACACTCTGCACCTCTGGCAGTCCGGACGCTTCTCACCATAGCTAAACTTCCGCAAGGAATCGTCCACTGCTCGGACGGTGCTCTCGTATCCGTGCTCTTGATCATAGACCTTCGAAGCTGCATCTCGTTCGGCACGGCGACTGGACTGGGACAGCTCTATTTCAACTCACTGACAAAGATATCCTCTCTCGGAATGCCGCTTTGCTCGATGGCCTGACCGACCTGGTCCTCATTCTTGTAGTATCTCGCGGTATCTATGTGCCTTTGTGCAATATTTCGCTTCCCAGGTGCATCGACAAGAGGACATAACGCCGGAACCTACCTATACCCACACTTGAGGGCTGCGAGACACGCGGGGATGCAATCGTAGTTTTCGAAGACGCCTAGTCCCAGTTTGGGCATGTCATATCCTGTTCATGTGGGAGTGAACAAGACGATTTCATGCAAGAATATGTGGCACACATACCACTCGAGAGACGGACAGTAGCCGCAAGGGACAAGGCTTTCTGGGCTGACATTCTGAATGATTCTGGAGAGAATGATTTTCGCGACCTTCGAACGGGGAAGGGGAGCCTGGTGGAACCGCGAGGCTGGCTACATTTATACGCGCGTGGATAGGATCGAGGTTGTGCACACGCGCGGGCAAGAAGTGGGGCGCCAGCCACTAGTATCACGCTGACTCACCAGACCACATCCACCATACAAACCGAACTATGTCATTATCTGCTATGTACGTTGAAGGTAAGGGGTCTTCCCCGTCCATGCTGACACTCGGACGGTTCTTGATTGACTCATGATACTGCGTCGATCGATGCCCTCTAAGCATATCTCATGAACTTTCGCTGACGGTTCCACAGGCCATCGTCAGCCCCGTTGACCTTTCGACGATGAGTTGAAGTTATCCATTGTCGTGCAAGATATATGAGGGCTGGTCAGATTGTCGTGAGAGTAGGAAGGCAGTTATGCGAATCGACCCCTGAGATCCACCAGCCCACGTTCGCCAGGGACCGCCGTCAAGTCGAGCAAGTATATCCCCCGGATCCGCACTGCATTTCTATTATTCTCATAATCACTCCTTTCAGTCTTTGAGCAGACCTTGGGGGGGGGGGCTTTCAATCCTCATTTGGAACATCTATGCACGATCTCATTCATTCGTGTAGAGCACTCATGGAGGATGGAGTACAACTCAAATGCGACATCTTTGAAGCACACCGGGACCCCTCAAATTTAGAAGTGCTGGTACGCTCCAGCACCGCGGAAAGGCAATAGGGAGGGTATATATACTGTACGTCGCATTGGAACAAAGCGGAACACCGATTAGAGCTTCGTATATATATACAATAACAACAGGGCGGTCGAGAGTGACATTCCAAGGATGTAAACCAGGGAAGCGCAGAGAATAGCAAGAAGGTAAGGCGTTCATTGGTGAGAACCTGACTGTCGGTCGGAACAGAGCGACAAGATCGATACTAATAGATATCCTCGAAACCCGATGCTACGGCGCTGGGCATTGGGGCTGTGCGCGATAATAGACGCCCTATTAGGTATGACGTAACGTTTCAAGTTCCTATGTGCTGCGGCAACCACCACTCTACCACGCGTTACCGTCGTGTCGGGGTTTCTGCCTACGCTGTGAGGTCCACAAGGACCAACAGGTTCACAATATCGTCATTGTTCCTCGTAGGTAGCCAGTTGGATCCACCGACTTCTGCAGAGGCACGAAGCGTCATTCACCGTGGAACGACTCGCGATCTAGCCAACCCAACTCCCCGCCATATTTCCCGTACTACGCCCGCTGCGAGGAAGATCGATCAATCACTATGCTCATTGACTCTGAGTCTCAGGTACGCGAATACAAAGTATTGCTGTGCGTTCTTCTTAATACCGTATCATAGACATCATCTATCTCAAGGACAAAGCCTGAAGAGGATGCAGAAGAATGGGAGGACGTTCCGAATACAGACCTGGCGCGCCATGACAGTGACATCTCTGTTGGGCGTCGCGCAAGTTCTGTCAGGCAATCCACCCCCTCTCGTACGCGGCGTCGCAAGGTCGGGAGAACCGCCTCAGTCTCTCTTGCTCAAGCGCACCCCACGCCGCGTCGCGTAACTACTCAACCCCGACTTCCGACGGCTGCTCCCAGGAAGGCATTCGAGCTCAACGGTGATCAGGTGCAAGATGTCCTCACACACGGCGCAGCCTCCTTCGTGCGCTACTCTGGCTCCATATTCACGCATGCATTCCAACTGCTCAAGCGGCCTCTCGGATACCTCGTCTTCCTGTATCTGCTCGGGCTCCTTCTGGGCTTCCTTTTCGCCAGATTCCGCGCCGCCTTTGCCCCCATATGCTGGATCCCAGGCATCTCCAGCAGCGCTCTTTGTCGCATCCCTGGGATCCCGGAGAATGTGTTGAGGTCACCTCAACGAGTGGACTATCCACGCCTGGTGGAGATCCAAAGCTCCAGCTTCGAACAGCTGCTCGACGGCGCCATTGGCGGACCCGCGCTTGGGCTCGAGATAAAAAAGGCCGAGATGGCAACCAAGGACCTCATCACCCTCGTGAAATACAGCCAGTTGAAGAGCCGCGACAGTCTCGCCGAGTCGCTGTACAACTTCGTGCAAGACGCGAAAAAGACAGGGAAAGGCCTGCAGAAGCTCACAGCTAAGATCAATGGCGCTGTTGACAAGTGAGTTGTTCATTCCCTTAATCTACCCAGCAGAGGGTCCTTATCGTCACCGCAATACTTCTTAGCATCATGGCGATCAACGACTACGCCCTGCACACCATCGAGGGCGCCCAAGCTCAACCTAACTCCCTCATGCGCGTCATCTGGCCCTTCGGCGTCGAGCCGCCCACCCAGGCCGCCGCGCTCGAGGCCTTCCACAAGTCCATGGAAGTGCATGCCTCGGAGATGAAGCGCCTGATCCTCGAGGTCGAAGTGTCCTCTACAAACCTCGACGCGCTTGAGGAGCACCTCGCGACGCTCCACGACATCTGCGCGCGCGAGAACCTCTCGATGAGCTCTGCGCGCGACGCCCTCCTCTCCGACCTCTGGACGATCCTTGGAGGAAACCGCGATCGCGTGCGCTCATTCAATGCAAACCTCGAGCTCCTGCGCGACCTCGGCGAATACAGGCGGCGCGCGGCGGCGCACGTTGCGGCTGCGATGCACACGCTACAGGCGATGGGGGAGGATATGGAAGATTTGAGAGAGCGAGTCTCTGCGCCTGAGCTCGTGGGCGACGTCGTGCCGGTGGAGGTGCACATGAAGAGCATCAGAGCGGGGATGGACAGGCTGAAGGAGCAAAGGGTCAAGGCGAAGGAGAGGGAGGAGATGTTGATGAGCAGGATTCTCGGAATCGAGGAATGAGCCCCTCGCTCGTCCGGATGATCGTCATGTACGTTGTATGTATACCTTGTCAGCCGCGTTGCTCTGGACTTCTGCGGAGTATCTATTGGATATTAGGCCTGGTGTTTTCTGCTTTCATCGAATATTACATGTATTATCACAAAATGTTACGACGCGTACACGACGACTCTAGACATCGACTCGTCATTGGCTTCGATAAGTAGGTTCCTCCAGTAGTGCTTCAAGCCCGAGTACTAGTAGTACTTAATTGTGACCAAGGGTGCCCAGAAAATCTACGCTTGACGAATTACTGCGACAGATGTAAACTAGTAGCGACAAGATAGCATCGAAGACGGCCTTGACCAAGGGTCCCCAATGAAAGTTGATGTAGACTGTTGTGCCAGCAGTGACTTGCTCCTTCCACACGTCGTCTCCGTACGGCGTCACAAAAACGTTGGCATGGACTCGGAGCCCCAGTGATTCGGCGCTTGTCTACCCAGCTTAGTCTTCCCGGAGATTACCGAAGGGTCATGCAAATCTAGCCGACTTTGTGCGCGAATATCACTTCGATCTACCGCTCTTCCTCACTGCATCTCCTCCAACGCCTAACACTCTCATCATGTCTGATTGGGGTACGGTTGACCCTGGGTTTTTCTCGGACGCAGATTAGCTCATGAATGCAAGGAGTACAGAAGGGTCTGACGACGATGCGCCTAAGGCTGCGCCCTCTGTTCCCGTTCCAAAGAAGCCAGTAAAGAGCAAATGGGAGGGCGAAGATGAGGAGGATGATGGGCCCGTCGTACGTCTCATTTTTTTCTCGCTCCTCTTCCTTGTGAACTAACCTGCTTCCACCTGCGATATCAGAGCGACTGGGAAGCGTCGTCTTCGGAGGAAGAAGAAGAGAAACCCGGACCCGCGCCCTCCGCCCCACCAAAGAAGAAGGGTACACTTAAGGCGAAGCTAGCGGAGAAGGAGGCGCTTAAGGCGCAGAAAGCTGCAGAAGACGATGTCGATTACGACGAGGATGCGGTACTCGACCCTCGCGAGAAGGCGCGAAGAGACAAGGAGAGGGAGCTTGCGGCCGATCTGAGCAACGCTGCCGATCTCTTTGGTGCTGCTGCGCTGGGAGGTATGTTTCTCCTCCCCATTGTTGCGCTCTTACAGGACTCAACGTTGTCGGACGATCAGGCACGTCCTCGAAGGAGCTCGACTGGCTGATCTCTGCACAGCCTCGGACGAAGGAGGACTTCGTCGAGTTCTCGGACAAGATCATCGAATACATCATCAAGCGACACCAGGGCAAGCCGCTGTACGCCGCCTTCCTCGAGTACCACGCACGCCAGCTCGCGATGCCCCTCCGCGACGTCGAAGTGCGCAAGGTCGCCAGCGGCCTTACCGCACTCTCGAATGAGAAGCAGAGGGAGCAGCGCGAGAAGGCGTCGGGCAAGAAAAAGCCTAAGACGACGGCAAAACCCACGCTCGGGGCTGCGAAGCCCTCCAACAAGTGCGTTCATGTTGCTCCTGGCGCTGACGTCTCGTTGTAGGTGTCGCTGACGATCCCGTCTTCTAGGCTTGATACGGCCGTGTACGAAGAGGCGCTGGACGACCTTGGCGACGACGATTTCATGTAAGACGATCTTATGTAGAGTATTCTTCGTAGGCGTCCCTGCGTCATACCCGTGGGCAGATGAACTGTTGTAACCTAGTGCAATGTCGCTGTAGCAAGTCCACTCTCTTCACATCAAATTGCTGTTTTACTTTGAATGCGCCCTGGATGCCGGCGGAAATCCTATCTTGTGCGTCTTATATGAGAGGATCATCTTATGAGTGCTAGTATTGTGCAGACTGCTCAAGGCGCTCCTCAGCAGGGCTTAGCTTTGCCAACCGCAGCTCTCGCAGCTTGCGACCCGGGATTTGCTTTACAGCGGTAAAGCATCTTCTGAGCGATGTCTACTGCGTAAAACGTTCGCCAGTCTGCTTTGACGGTCCGACTACTTGGACAGCAGGCGACTCTGGGGAGTCCTTCGTCGATGGGCATGACCTCATCGACTGCATCGGAGCTGGGATCTGGTGTAGCCGTATCTACGCTTCGTGTACCAGACAGCGTACGCGTATCTTTTGCGTCTAAACGGTCAGTGACGGGCTCATCACAGGAGGAGACCTGGGAAAGTACTGATTGGAACCGTGAGCTACGCCGGAGCGATATAGCCGTGATGCTGTCTTTCGGGGAGCCTTTCATTTTGGACTTCGATGCGGAAAAGCCACGGATGCCGCTCATCGTTGATCAACAAACTGACGGTGGAGAATTGCGAACGTGGTGCCCTTTGCAGCTAATATGCCGGAGTCTCATAGACGGGAGAGTGTCGGAGGACGAGGATCGCATGCCCTGGTCCAGCAGCGTTCTTGTCGAAGTCGGGTCTCGGCTGCGCCCTCTTGCAGATACTGTGGATTCCCATCCATCGTGACATGCGACTTCATTGTACTTCCTGATGGACGCCGGAGCTTCCAGGTTGGACTGCTGCGATGCATAGAAAGAATTGTAGGAGGGTGTCTGTATGGTATCTACTCGTCGTACAGCATCTCTTGCAGTAGAAAGGGATAACAATACGTGAAGCCCTGCTCTCGGGGGCTACTTTACTTCCATCTGGTTAGAGTACGAGGTGCAGTGTCTACTTGATAGTATCGGGCGCCAGTGGCTCGGGGCTGCTGCGCGGACTGGGCGGAAGTCACGGCAGGGCCGATCCTGTTTTGTTCAGCCACCGCCGTCGTGCTTGCAGCCTTGGATCAGCTCGGGGACTATGATCATCCCGCTCAATGCTCTTCTCGACGGTGACCAGCTGGATTGCATCCTTCCTCGCCGTCTCAACGTCTCTTCATGACAGGACGCCGCTGTACCCACGACCCGAAGCGGCAGCGCCAACAGCCCCTCTAAACTTCGAGCTGCGCCATCTCCATGCTACTTCCTCCGATGGGAGAATACTCTTCCAAGACGTACAGAAGTCTGGTATTGACGCGCTCGCGCTGACTGGGGAGCCGACGAGCTATTCGTTACGATCGCGACGCGTGAAGGCACACCGGCCGACTTCCATTGATGCCTTCCACAAGGCCCGGCTGCGCTCCATGCGCTTCCAGCAGAGCGAGGCAATAGACTGGGATGAGATTGATGTAGAAGGGCCCGATGTTGAAGATAGGGAGACCTTGCTGCTACTGGCAAAGATGACAAACAACGCGTATCTCATGCCGGATGAGGAGGGATGGTATCCATTGGGTGACCGTTGGAATGTGGTCAGTGGCCCTTTATAGACATGCGCACGCATACGACGAGCTTGACTGATACAATCCCCAGAGCTACCCTTTTGGATGGGAGCCTGACGACGACGGCTTTCGCGGGCACGTCTTCGCGACGCCCGATAACTCCACGGTCGTCCTCTCCATCAAGGGCACCTCTGCCACTTTCATTGGTGGGGGCGGCCCAACCGCGAAGAAAGACAAGTTCAACGACAACCTCCTCTTCAGCTGCTGTTGCGCACGCGTGGATTGGACATGGACGACTGTGTGCAATTGCTACCGCGGGGGATGGAAGTGCGACCAAGACTGCTTAGAGGACGCGCTAGTAGAGGAGAGTCTGTTCTATCCTATAGGAACTGTGGGTTTTCCCTCTTGGTGGACTATATGCGTCGTTCGCTGATCGTGTCTCTCGCCTTTTCTCTCTCTCTTGTCGCCGAAGAATTTGTACAACAATCTCACATACCTATACCCCGACTCAACCATCTGGATGACCGGCCACTCACTCGGCGGCGCTCTCGCGTCGCTCCTGGGTGTCACCTTTGGCACGCCAACACTCGCCATTGAGGCCCCCGGCGAGAAGATGGCCTCCCGCCGCCTACACCTTCCCTCCCCCGTACGTCAACCCTTCATCCTCTACTCCTACCCAGCTTTCACCTCTCTCCCCCTTCGCTCACTTGCCTATCCAGCCTGATGTCCAGCATGTCACCCACCTCTACCACACCGCGGACCCGATTGCAATGGGCACCTGCAATGGGGTGCTGTCTTCGTGCGCGTTGGGCGGGTACGCGATGGAGAGCAAGTGCCACTTAGGCCGGTCGATCGTGTACGACACCGTGTCGAATCTCTCGTGGTCGGTCGACATCCGGACGCACACGATCGTAAACGTTATTGAGAAGCTCCTGGCGAAACCGTGGCCGCCAGCGATCGACCAGGGGCGCGAGGTGCCCGAGGCAATGTCGGAAGATGACTGTATGGTGAGCTGTTGCTGCTTGTGCCTCGTCGGTTGAGGAGCAAAGAGCTGATGAATCGATGTAGGAGTGTTACAGTTGGGACTTTGGAAACTACCCAGCGAAGTAGTCTCTCGCACTGGTAGAGGAGTGTCTTAGATATCATTAATGTGTAGTGCTCAATGACCAGCAACTACGATCTCTATGGATCCTGGAGTACCATCGGCGCGATGCACTGTCCCAACATCTATCTCTATTCCACCTGCGCCACCTGCCCTGCCCCGTCATCTGCACGAGCCTGTTTAGTAGGAGAGCATCTTTCTTGGGATCGTCTCTCCCTTCCAATAAGAAAGAGAATGCCACCCTAGAAAAGACGCCTTAGCCCTCGACCAGACCGCCTGTCGCTGTTGTGGTGTTCAAAGTCCTGGAGGGTGTGCGTCTCACCGGATCGCGTCCGCATTGTCCATGACTGATCAAATATGGTGAGTCAAAGTCTATGTACCTGCACCCGTATGACACTCACAATGTTCGTCTTCGTCGTTCCCATGGTACCGCAACAGCCACTCCCAATCATCGTTGCCGTAGTCGTCGGCGGTCCTGAAGTAAACTTTGGGGTATGGCCAGCGCGGCCGAACGACGACGGCCCCTGTAGTCGGATCCCGCCCGATAGGTCGTATCTGTGCGCCATAACCGAATAGCTCGAGATTGGGCGGAGGATTGTTCAACACGGCGGCTTTGAGCTTGAGAGCGTCGTAGAAGTCCGGTACCAGGTGCAGATAGCGAAGCGAACGGCGGCTATTGAACTGAGAGCCGTACAAGGAGACCCTCAGTGCCATTGCAAAGAGAAGGCAGAACATGGCCCTCTTACCAATTCAATCCATTCATCTGCGGGGACGGATGACGAGGATATGTTCACCCAAATGAGCAGGGCAGTCAAGTTGTCAGGCAAGTACACCTCCAGGTCCTGTATGTGCTCCTTCTGTAGTGAAGCGACCCGGACGCTCAGTCCGACGACCTGCAGCTCGCGCAGCTTTGGCATGATCTCGAGGATCGGGGTTATCAACAGCGCTGTGTCTGCCGCGAGCCACCGTGCGTCGACGCGCACCATCACGTCCATCCGCCTGAGACGCTTCTTCTTCTGCAGGAAGCGCGCGAGGACCGCGAGGTCGTCCCCAGAGTAATCGACGCTCCAGATTTTGAACGAGTCGAGGTCCGGGAGCGCTTTTGGTTGCGCGCGGAGGACGGGGATGAGGACGTCTTCGGCATATGTGAACACGAGAGAGAGGGCGCGCAGGTGCGTGCAGTGCGCGAACAGCTCCCCCAGCTCCTCGTGGCCTTGAATACCAACGATGTCAAGTTCTGCGAGGCTCGCGAACGAGGGCATGGGGAGACATTGGTCGCATGTCTCGCCGGCGAGCCTGAGGGCGCGGAGAGTATTCGCGTTGGCTTCGAGGACATCGCGGATAAGCGATGGCTCATCGGCGTCCTGGTCCAAAACTGTGAGGGATGTGAGATCGTGTATAGGGGAGAGGAGCGAAATAGCGCCCTCTGGAAGTTCTTGTCTGTGGCAAGGGATAGTACAGAGCATTAGTCGCGACTGCAACAGATCGGCAGAGGCGACTCACGGCATCCCAAGCTCCCGCAGGGTCGTATGAGAGGAATTGGCAAGAACCTTGAAGACTTCGAGGGGCATCCGGGGAGAAGAGCCATGCCAGAAGAACCCGCGGAGTTCAGGGATAGCTTCCAAAGCGTCGGCTAGGAAACCTTCGCGCAGATACAGGGACGATGAGTGTGCCGTTTCATCTTCACAAAGAGCACTCACGGATAGCGAGCTGCATCTCCACTCCAGCACAAGAGAACGCACGCACGGAGACCCTCTTCACCTTCCTCGCGAAGTCTGGGGTACGCATGATGTGCCGCAGGACCTCGTAGGAGGCGTCCGCCCGTCGTATGAGATCCGCCTTCTCATCATCTGTGAACACCTCCTCGTCGTCTATATGTTCAAACGGCCTCCAGAGTCCCAAAGATATCGAGACGTGAGAGAAGACGTAGGTCAAGGCGATGTCGTGAAACATCTCTGAGACAGAGAGACATGTCTTCTGGTCGACAGAGGGCAGCATCTCGATGATGGGATACCATAGTTCTGCTGGCATGGCCTTGGGAGAGATAGACGTTGTCATACTGCCCGACTGTGCACTGTCGATTGGGCAATCCGTGGAGCATTAGGCTGGAGATCCAATGTGTTGGACGTTGAATAATGAGAGACCTTCTTCATGGGACTACTGAGAAGCGACGGCACGATACGGCCTACCCGAAAAAAGTCGACTGGCCGCGTTTTCCGCGTTTCCCGGAGATATCTGGCCCCCGCGGACGATGATGTCATGCAGGAACAATCATTGGTCGTACATACTTACGCAAGCAGTATATGGCGATGACCCTCGGAAGGCTACTGGGGTCCAGGCATACGTATTCTATAATCGCGAAGGAAATATAACATTGTTGAGAGTGAGGCATATCAGCAACTCACATGAGCATACTGGAACTGAGGAACCATTGCAATGAATTGATAAGTATTCTATGTGCAAGATACAACATATGGCGCCCCGCCACCCCTCTACGGCTTAACGCCCTGGAGACGGTAGAAAAGCATCATGATGGCCAAGGCGTAGTGCTCAAACTGGTCCTTGGACATGAACAGCAGGGCCTGCGTCAAAACCGCCTTGACCAGCTGCGCACTCATCCCCTGCAAAAGATATACGGAATGTCAGGCACTCGACCGCAACAATCGCGATTGCAAACGAACGACGCACCTGGTACCAACCGACGAAGCCCTTCCGCCGCCATACGCGGGCGAGCACCGTCAGCGCACCGACGTGGTGGCCGCCCTTGTGATGGGGCTTGTTGTGCTTCGGAAGGGGGAGATGCTCCTCTTCCGCTTCCTCGATATCAGCGGAACGCGCCTGGATGCGCACCTTCGCCATGATATACGGATAGGTGACCTACAAAAGTACATGGGAAACAGTCAGCCGTCACCCTACACATCGAGTCAAGGCAACAGAGCACACGTACCACAGTAGCCAGAGCCTTGCTGATCGCCCCGACGGTGAACGACATCCACGGGCTGAGCTTCGCGTTCATGTTCGTCTCGCCCTTGGCGAGGAGCAGCAAGCTCTTCACGCGCTCGAACATCCCGTACGTGATCGCCGGGTTCACGGTGAGCACCAGCCCGGGCTTCAGTCCGAGCCATAGGCCCGTCACGCCCTCCTCCGCGACGATCTCGCGCGCGACCCCCAGGAACGAGTCGTCGTACTCCTCCTCCTCCTCCTCCTCGTCAGCGTTCGCCTCAAGATCGCCCTCCTTCGCCGGCGCCTTGCCCTTGCCCTTTGCTTTGGGGCGGTCGGGAGCGCGCCCGACCTGCTGCCGGGTCGCGATAACGGCGACGGGGATGGTGAAGACCTGCGCGAGCGCGCCTGCGACCGCACCCAGGGCGAGCTCTGCCGCCGTGCTTAGTGGTGGGGCTGACACGCCTGCTGGGCGTTTGACGGCGAGACGCTTTATATACGACGTGCGGATGAACGAGTAGAAGAAGAAGTACGCGTATTCTGATAAGGGGGTGAGAGGTAGAATAGGATGATGTGGAGGTGACGGACGTACGCATGGAGAAGGTGTTGAGCATGGTGGCTAGGAACCCCCTGTAGTACCCGAACAGGCCCTCCTCCCGGAGTATGCTCTCGAGCACAGCGAGCACGCTCAGCTTTTCTCCGGAATCACCTGTGCTTGCCTGTATCCGCGTCTTCACGCTACGGCGATGTCAGGAGTATTACATCATAAGGATGAAGGTCGTGCTCACATATCAAGAGGGTACACAACGCTGCAACATAGGGAAGCAGTCAGCCAAGTGCTTTACGGATACTATCGGCAGTATATGAGATGTAAGCTAGCAGCGACCTGGAGTGGTATCATAACAGAGACAGTTCGTGTTGTAGTCGCAAATGAAGGCACCGTGATGTCATCTATTGCTTCCTTCCGGAAGAGATGTGCCTCAGCAACCGTCGACGAATGGAAGTCGGTACTTGGGCATCAGGTCACAACTTCGCGATTCGGACAGGTAGAGCTTAGACACAGGGAGCATAGTGCACATCATATGAGCGTGCCCGACATGTTCTGAGCAGACCCTCGAAGGCATGCCAGTGCTCGCAGCTGGGGTGATATGCCTCTTCACTAACACACGACTGCCCCCACCTCTAGCCCCTGCGCCATACCTGGCCTTACGCCTAGCCTCGCGCCCCGCCCCGCCTGGAACTGCGCATGTATCAGACCAACAGAATACTCACGCGTTACTGAAGCATGCTCCCAACGCTCCGGCCAACGCGGACCCGAATGGCGTGAGTTGTGTAGGTTTCGACATCCCGGGTCCGTAGCAGCGAAAGACGGCCAGACAAGCAGGAGCAGGAATTGGGATCCCAAAGGAACGAAGCAAGTCAGTAGATATGTCGGCCGCTGACACTCGAGCTGCCCCGCGGGGCGCAAGAGAGTCGGACGAAGCAAGGACCGGGTGCCGGTCTCGGCGACCGGTGGCCCGCCTAACCTTCACATGCATCGTACCACCCTAACCCTACCTCCCCTCTTTCTCCGTTCTCACCTGTGGACATCATACATATCATGTCCATACCTCGAGACTCTTCAAGCATCATGTGTATCATCAAAACTCTGGTCGTTTGCCAGGTGTTCAACTCAGCAGCCATCTGTCTCCTATAGCTGCGTATTCTGCAGTCTGGCCGCTAGTCGATCGTCCGTGGCGCACCCCGAGAATGCGGAGGGGCCCGGTAGGAATCCACGACCGGACAGAAAACGCTCGGAGATGTAGCGGCCATGATGTGACGCTACGGCGTTGACTACTCAGGCTGACAACACCCAGACGCTTCCACCCTTTGTAACCTACCAGGCAGGCTGTGACGATTTGCCTTGCAGCGCGCTATGCCCAATGTAGCTTAAGTCTGGCGTATCTATGGAAAATGAACCCCTGGAGGGAATTCAATAATTGGCACTATGACTGCCAAGCCCGCTTCCTGGACACCGCCAGGACAGGGGAGCCTCAATCCGTCTCACGTTACACTCTAAGTCGTTGAACTCTGCCAGGTAGGCCGCAACAACTCTTAGCATGTAAGTCAAGTATACACGATCATATTCCACAAAGTTGATACAGAGACCAAGTCGCTATGGTGTGCCATAATCAAGCAGTGGTCTTGCGCTTGAGCCCGGGATGGTCCTTCCAAAGCTCCACCTGTACGTCCTATCGGCACGAAATGTCAACGACCGCAACCGCCGTATACGGAGTTATAGCACTAACCTCTTCCCAGGAGTTTTGGAAACTGGGCCGCTCCGTCACATCTTGGACATACCTGTTGAACCGCGCATACTTTTCCCCCGCAAGCGCCGCCCGAAGCTTGTCGCCCTCCTCCTGGCTGTACGCGCCCAGGTTCTTGCGCAGGAACAGCATCAGGCGGGCAAGCCAGGGCCCGACAGCGCAGTCTGCAATTGAGAACTGCCCGATGGCGAACCCCGTCGGGTGGAGGACCGCCTGGAATTTGTCCACAGCTTGCAGCACGGACTCACAAGGATGGGCCAGGAAGAATGCGGCTCTGAAGGCATGGTGGACGTAGTTCTCGTAATACGCGATCACTCGGCGGGCCTTAGCGCGGAGCACGGGGTCCGCGGGCAAGAGGTCCGACTCGGGGTAGATGTCCGCGAGGAACTCGAGTAGTGCGAGGGACTCGGTGAGCTTCTCGGACTCAGGTGAGGGTTGGTCCGATGGGACATCGGGCCCGCCGTAGGTGATAGCGGGGATCTGCGAGGCGGTACTAAACGGTAAGTAGATTGTTTCATCGTCGGTGATGGAGGGCAATACCGACCTTTCCGAGGGGATTAATCGTATAGTACCAGTGAGGCTTGTTGCCCTTCTCTTTGCCAAATTCGTGGATTTTGTATTGCGCCCCAGCTTCATCTAGGGCAATCCGGACCTGGGAGAATCAGGCTCAACCGAGGAGAGCGCGCAACTTCTGTCAGCGATCGCCTTGCTACTCACCCGTTGGGCGTACGGAGAGTACTGTGCGAATCATAGCATGGCGTCAGTACCGATATAGACGTGGACACATACCAAACTCTCTTACGGTTGCAGTATAGAGGGTGAGCTGTTTTGTGGCGGCCATGATAGTGGCTGTTGTGTCAGGGGTAGCAAGCGGGGCGCAAGCTTTTATACCTCTTTGTCGTCTCACCAGCGGCAAGTCGGTCAAGGACCCCAATGTAATCATGCGGACTGCGCTGGGGTTGGTCCGCACAGCCTTCCCAACTCTCTAGACTTCAGCTGGGGTGAAGTTATCAAAACGTAGAGCGTATCGTCACAGCCCAAGTATCCATCGAAAGCAACGGATGATAATGACACGAGCGTATAAGCCAACTACCGAACCCCAAAGCATTGCCGTGGTGCCCCCTAAGGAACAAGGACCTGCGTCTACCAATCCAAAGTCTTTCGATGACGGTTGCTTGGATAGGCACAATGCAGGTCGCGTCACGCTTGATCATTAGTGGACGCCAAACTGCCCGCTGCAACGAGTCTAAGAACATACATACCCCCTACGATTCCTAGTTGGCCATCCTCATCACCTTGAACTAAGTTACGCGCTAAGGGTGTCGGCGATTAGGACTAAATGATTGACACTGACCTTCGGGTGCGATGCGGCTGACATGTTGTTAAGAGCATGGTCTTCACACTTGACGAACAAGCAACAGTGACGCGAACATGTTCACACCTGAACGTGGTTCGCACTGCAATCCAGCCATGGGGTAAGAGGTCCCAGCACAGCTACAGTGTAATTCCAGGACACGTCAACGAGCAGGAACCATACTCCGCAAAAAGCACTATGAAGACGCAGAGCCGGCCGGAGCTGAGGCGGGGCTTCTGTTGTCAGGCTTCCGCCGATTCTCCCAAGGGTATTTCCATTTCGGGCCCGCCACCGTCTTGAGGCTGCGCCACACGCCTCGTGTGAGTATTGTGCCGATGCAGCAAGTCGACTCTGTCACGTACTCGTTCCAGGACCACGCATACGCCCACTTTCCACCAGTCTTCCCCATCTGTAACAACCGCGAGGCCACGCTCTCCCGTTGACGGGGCGGTTTCTTGGACAAGAACGCGTGCTCCAGCCCGTTGAACTTGATACATTGGCCAGTTTGGGGCGGTTCGAAGTTGCCGTTGTATCGCTCAGCATAGTGCACTGGCTCCACGATGCGCAGGACACGCAAAGCCAGGTAACCTTTTGTATCCCGTCCGCGTCGATTCTCGAATTGACACAAGAGGACGCCAGCTGGGTGATATCATAGTGAGCATGTGCTAACGACGAGCGTCGCAGTCTACGAACACGTACATTTGAACGGATACACTTCTCCCGAAAATATCTGATTCGCGTAGATGTGGCCAATGCCTTTTTGGGTGACTAAGAAGATCTTGTGCGTCGGGTTCGCCAGGTCGAGATAGAACGGCTGCCACGTTCTAAACAAAAGCTGGGAGAAGGCGCCAAGGGTGGAATTCGCCACCGACTCTGCCAGCCCTACACAGCAATCATATAGCTGTGGAGGCACGTAGCCATCCTGTTGTAGAACCTGCACGATGCTGGTGTACCGCGGCGATGTCGCCAGGGCGATGAGTGGGATATGCCAAGGCGTTCCGTACGGTGTCAATAGGTCCTGGCCACGGAGGTGCCCGTTCAGATCTGGTGTCTGGGCGATGCGGAAACGGAGCCCGCTTGCGACAGGATAACGGTGCTGGTGAAAGTACAGGAAGCCGCGGGTGTTAACAGGAAATGGGAAGTAGGCTATTTCCCGGCGCTTGGGTTCTTCGTGCCGCCAAACCTTGCGCCAATAGTTGATGTAGGGGAAGTTCAGGCCATCGTGTGACGTTGAGGGGCTTGCCTCGTCATCTCTGGCATCCGCGAGTACGCCACGTGAATCAGACAGGTCAAGGTAGTCCTCTTGCTGGAACCGGCCATGATATAGTGTGCGGAGAGGAAGAGGACGGTGGGAGCGAATGCGGTAGTCGATGGTAATAGAAGGATAGGGAGTTCGCGGCGACTGTGCACTGTCGGTGTTATCACTCGGCGCAGAAGGAGATGGGTTTGCTTCAAGATACTCACCGTTTGTGAGGTAGTGTAGTATGCTACTCGTAGAGGCCCTGCGCGGCGAGCTACGGTCTTGGTGGCGGTCTGGAGGAACATGGAACCGAGGCTGCAGCAGCGTTGTTAGACCCTAATCACGTCCTGACTCCCTGTGCTGTTGCCTGTACTGCCCGATACACGATCCCTAGTATATCCTTTGCCCTAGATTAGCTACGTTTCCATGCAGGAGGGAGAGACCGTTGTAAGGTAGACGCGAGTGAGTGCGTAGATGGTGGACCAGTAGACCGTGACGGAGGTGGGCGGCTACTACATAGTCGCCGTCCGCCGCTTGACAAGAGTCTAGGCTCGCCTATAGGATATTTGCTTCTTTCTCCCATCTCCAATTCCAACCACACTCATCTGCAATCATTGCTCTATTTCGTGTTCTTAAGTGCAGTGTTTGCATGCATCGCAAAGCTTTCGCCGGCATTTCTTCCAGTGGCCGTGGCAGCATAAGAGCCACAACGATGGAGGCGTCTCGATGATGAGTAGAACATGTAGCGAAGGGTCTCGGTTCAGTGCTTGCGACGCCTGGGAGGTTGTAAGTGCGTATACTTTGATAGGAGCGAGGTCTGCGTATCTTCCCTCCTCTTGCCAATTCACACCCTGCTAGAGCACGGGAATATGAGGGTTTCGTGCCTGGTCCCCACGCTGCCCGAGTTGCACTACTGTGTCAACGCTGTGCTCCTATTTCCCGCCGCACTCAACTCTTTCCGAAACCGCCTATGGCTGAAGTATCCACGAATCCCGTCCCTGGCTACTCGGATACACAATCAACTGCGCCTGAGGATGATCCAGACCTTCCCAATTATTCCGCGCGATCGCGAGCGCAGTTCACAGAGCAGACATTTCAACTCGAGGATATGAAATCTCGTGGATGGCTTTGGCTGAAAGTGAACAGTCGGTCGAAGGCCAACCAGTTGCCACTATTCTATGACCGTGATACTCTCTCCGGGACAGTCGAGATAGACTTCGATAAGGTTGATGGGGCGAAGACCGTAACTGTCTCTGTGAGTCCATTGTGGATTGACGATTTTCTCGTCTTTCTCGACATTCGGACACTGATTAGACGCCTCCACGGCGCGACAGGTCTTCGCCGGAGTTACAGCCGTAGGTCAGGAGGAAGTCAGGTTTTTAGAGATTACCCACCAGCTATGGAGTGCGAAGGGCTCGCCAAAGCTGCCGGGAAAACACTCCTACCCCTATGCAATCACACTCCCCAGCGATGCATCTGTAGTCGAACGGGGTAAGAAGCCCGCGCGGACATTCCCTCTCCCACCGAGCTTTTCAGAGCGTGCAAGTCCGGCTTACATTGACTACAAGCTAGTCGTTACGGTAAAGAAGGGCTCGTTCCGGGTTAACCAGGTGTATGTACATTACTAAGATTGTACGAATGATTACTCAAGTCATGCAATCGTATTCAGCTTAGCAACGACCTTCGTGTACATGCCGCTCATCCGAGCCGATCCTCCTTCCCCGCTGCGGGAACTCTCCTACAGAGAAGGCGTCCCGCTGATAGGACCTCAAGGTGATCCCGGAGGGTGGAAAGTTTTTCCCCCTGTAAAGGTTGCAGGAACCCTTTTTGACACTCGCACAGTCGAGCTAGAATGCACGGCATGTCTTTTCGAGACACCTCGCTTAACTGGTAGCAGCTGAGCACGTTCTTTCTTTAGCTGGCGTTTGCTACTCCCGTAAGTTTCAACGTCTAGAGCTTCCCCGAAGTCCCCAGTGACGCCTAAAGAAGCTGATTCTCCACTTTCATACCTATTCACCCACTACCGAACGTGTCCCGCAGCTGTCTTACGCCCTCGGCAGCCCTATTCCTATCACACTCACTCTCAAGGGCAGCGATGAACAAGGCCTTGATCTTCTTTCGACGCCCTCTGCCGTTCGGCTTCGCCTTATCCGCGTGCGCCTGGTCGGCTCTCATGCGATCCTGGACGACGATAGCACTGGGCGGAGCAACAACATGTTCCGGGACTCCGTGGGTAGTGCATTCTTTTGGCTATCGGACGAGGGCGCCCCCGAAGCCGGGGTACGCGTACTTCAGGGTGAGCTCGAGGTCAAGAACTCTCTCAAGCTACCATTTGTCTTCCCGCGGTTCTCCGTTAGGGTGAGTCCGCTGATGGTGGTTTCGTGATACCGCCTGCGCTCTACTTCACACTGCCGCAGACGAGATCCTGCTATGTTCTGCTTCGCTTTGGTGGTGTACAGCGTTGCTGACTCGGCTGTGTCCATGTTATTGCTTCACACCCTCGCCCGGCCGTATATCCGCACCGGACTTCGTAATCCCGGGTCCCGCTCTGCCCTGCCTCGCGCTGACCCTCGAAACCATACTCATTGCGGGACACCTCCGCCGCAATCCTACATCTCGCCTCATACGGCAAATTGACATGTGACATTGGTTGCGGACGCCCCCGCCCGACACGGCCTGTCACTGCGCTCACCGGCCACCTATGATGTGAACCCCTTGCAGTACGCTCTCGTCCTGTTACAGTTCCAGGCGCCCGGCTTCGCCCCAGCCTCCTCTGACGTCGAGCCGCTGATCAGCGAGCGCGTCACGATCACGGGCCTGAACGCGCCCGGCGTCGTCCCGCGGTCCTACGCACCCCCGGGATACGTACATGCGGAGGAGGGCGACTACAACACGGCCATGGGGTATTTGGAGAACGGGAACCAGAGGTGCGTTTCGCATTTCGCGTCTGGGCACGGATCTACTCGGAGCGCCACCACTGCGGCCTCGAGTTACACTCCGACGTGGAGCGCCTCTCCGTCGACCGTCAGGGTTCGGGCAGGGACGAAGCGGGCGTTGACAATGGTTCGTCTGACGATGACTGACGGAGACGTCGGTGATGTCTAGATTTTACCACCATCATGGCTTCTGAAGCGCAGCCGGACAGAAGGAGGTCGCAGCATTCACAGCGCCACGCCAAAGGTGCTACGTCATGTACAACAGCTGTGTATGGCCTTGGCATACAGTGCAATCTCCTCGTTACGCAGTAGTACGGCGTTTGTAACAGTCTTTCGAAATTTTCTGAAAGCTTCCGCAAGGAGGGACCGCAGTGATGATGCAAGGACTGTGCTTAGCCTGTCATGAGAAGAAATCCTCTGCAACCGTACACGAACGCCTCATGAGCCGAAAGACCGGTGACTGCCAAGATGGGCTCATCAAGTTGATGCTCTCAGGACATGCAAACTCGTTAGAGAGTCAGACTACGCAATTGCGATTATTATTGGTATTAGCACTATAGAAGGAATACGATAAGTATACGAGTAGAAACAATCGGGGCCAGTTGATGACGCAACGGGGGACAGTCTAGAAGTCTACAGCTACAGGAGGCACGTCGGCGTTATTTCGCCTAGGAGCAATTAACCAAGTCCGTATGGAGCATTATTAGTAGCAATTATCAAGAATTAGCGATGTGAAAGCAGAGTCAAAGATGTAACAGCGAATGCGAAGACGAGTGTCGAGATACAGAGAACACAAATGCAGTACGCCCACGAAGGGTCAGACGGAGGTCGGGGACCAAGGCTGGACTGCCGTCCTTGTCCGCAGAGACGTACACGCGGCCTGAGACATGCGCCAGGGGAGGTGGCGGCGGTTACGGGGTTCACGCTGAACCGGTCGGCAGCCGACACGCAGCGCAAGACTACGCGCGGCGACAGAGCGATCAAACTCTAAGGCTTCTGCCCGGACCTACACCATTCGAGTGAGATGAAAGATGAGATGGGGTCAACAGGATACATCTCAACCAGGACTTACACAGGTACGTAGGCACACGCAAGCCCGCGACGGTTGCAGTTTGCGCATATCGGTCGGCCGTCGCACTTGAGCTTGCGACCTGTTGCGACAGTCAAGGATCAGTGTTAGTAGCTGACGGACGTGCAGCATGACATTGATGCGACAGTACAGCGCAATGTCCGGAGTGCAGTTTGCAAGAGGACTCACCACGGCAAAATGTACATGCCATCGGCGTGCGACGGGGAGTTCGAGGGACGTAGGATTCGCCGTCAGAGTCATCATTACGGTGACCGTTAGACTGCTGATACTGTGTGGCGCCGAAGTTAACGTTCAAACGTCAGGACGGATCAAAGCTCAGCGATGTGCTTACCCTAGGATCCATTTGGGCAGAAGCTGGTAGAGGACAGGCTGCTAGAACCGCTCGGGCTCGTGCTAATAGGGATTACGCCAAAGGCTATAGTAAGGCCTCAAGCCGCGTGAAAGAGTAGATGAAAAGCGAGCTGCAGGGCTGCAGTGGGCTGGCGGAAGACGCTACCGATGTTGAATCATCCACCCCTAGTCGTGTCAGCTATATATCCCCTGCACAGATGCATATCATCAACGCAATATTGTCGCGCGGCTAATGCAAATCGGGGAAAGAGCTGGCTCAGGGTCGAGTACACTACAGAACTAGACTTTGGCTGCGACGCCGTGACGGTAACGGTGACGAGGGCAAGGAGGCCCGGAACGTGTTTCGCGTTTCAGCGCCATGGATCTATCCGACGAGGGTCCTCCCAATCTCGACGAGGGCGGCCCGTGGGTTCTGTCACGGACTGACATACCTTAGACTGCGGCACATCATCCTAACGACACTCAGGCCCATGCTCCCGCGAGCGCGACTATCCCACCCGGACTTGCACAGGGCCTCTGCCATGCGCAGTTTATAGCGGACATACGCATGCTAGAAACGAACGCGTGGGTAGCCCAAACGCGATTACCTCATAGCCTCCCTGCTCGAAAATAAGCTCTTGGATTCTTGATGCGATTCGCATCACCGCATCCCAGTGCGCCCCACGTCCCTGGCCTGATGTTCACAGACCACACCGCAGTATGACATGGAGTCCGCGGAGACAGCACAGTCAGATATTCGGAAACTGCTGGCCGGCCATTTGAGTGCTGTGCGCTAACGAGAGCAGCATGTTGCGCCCACCGTACATCGCAAGATATTGCATCCCGTTCTGGGCCATGTCCACGGACTCGGAAGTCGTCTGAAATGAGCGACAGATTGCCATGGTTCGGGGACCAGACTGTAACACCAGACAAGTCCAATCAGCGTAACGCTGCAACAGGGTGCACGTCGCTTCACCAGGTCCGCCGTCGTCTACGCCGATCGTCGCTACTGTAGGTCACTCCGGCTTATATGTACTTAGGGGAACGGGTAGAGTATAGACGAAATGAGGATCGTGTTGGGATCATGTTAGAGCGTCGCGGACTTCAAGGCTGCCTCGAAGCTTTTGTTAAGCGCACCACGGGCGGTCGGGTGCATGTTTACGAGCCGGAAGCCAAGCCGCTCAGGCCGAGGAGCGGGTCCGCGCATGCTGGAGTGGACTATGCGAATTGCAAAATATCGAGACTGTTGAGTCCGGCGAGTCTGCCGGAGTCTGGCGGACTCCGGGGATCACATGACGTTCTCGGGAAGCACCCTTGGCGCCCAGACACCTAGACCTGTGCCATCACTCCATCTCGGTAATTTACGTCTCGCCCCCCGCCTATTGGCTGTCCATACATATTATATCATATCGCATAGCGTAGAAGTCTATTCTTATGATATCTTCGATTTCCATGCATGGTTACCTGAAGGTCGCTCCCGCAAGTCTGGGGTATTGAGGTTTTCGCGACGCAGCTGATTCATTGACACCACCTTGCATGAGGACAAATCGTAGTGAGAAGACGATGTTTGTAGAGGCCCTCATCGGAGAGCTATAGAGCGCTATCACC